GCGTTTTTCCCATTAGTACAACTGAACGCAAGAAACCAATTATTTCCGCTTAGAATTCAGGTGGTTTATTGGTTTTCCCTAATGATTGCATGTCTACCTGTCAGAATGACGTGGTGACACGCTGCTGATGTTCAATGATAGAACTGCGATTGTACCGTATTTCCTCAATTACTTATACACGGCGTTGAGCTTTCGACTAACGATTCGCTCAGACACATATGCAATGCAGCTGATTTCATGTTGTGACGACTGCTTCTGTTAGAGGTAAACGAATAGAATTTTTCACAAAGATAATCAGGAGGTAATTTCGTGCACAGAATTCAATCAGCGTTTAAACGAGGAAATACGGTAAAGTAAGCGTCAGTGAGTGCGAGCTACGGCTTCCGTTATGGTTTTGTCCGAGTTCGGGGAAGAGTTCGAGCAGGTGAACATCGTGTATTGACGTAAAGCGAGGGTAATGATGGCCGGTCTGTGGTCATCAGCTCGCTGGACGCTAGTTACACACGGTAATTATCAATTACTGATGGTAATTAGATGACAGTTGATCACGTGATAACGATGATGCACCTGCGATCCTCAAGTTTCGTCTAGGCCCTACATGTGTTTGCCTGTGCGTGTATATAGTTAATAAACCATATATTCAGTCTTCGTGTAAGATAGATAGATTTCTTTATTTCCTCCAAAGTTTGAAGATTACGAACGTATATTATACAGTCATATTAATGGTACATGATACAACAGGAATGTCCATGAAATAATTTATACAGGCTTGTAAGGTGAAATACAACAATTAAAAAAAATTAAATTTCTACTTAGATGCAGAATTTGATAGACATGTTATTTGCCCACACATCATAGTTTAACTGGTTCTTTACGTCTTTTATATCCGCCAAGTAGAAATTTCCTAAATTCATCATCATCACAAATCTGTTCAAATAAGACATTTCTTTCAGCAATATTAATCTAATAAATGTTGGGTAGTAAATGCACAGTGTGAGTGAGTGAGTTTAGTTTTACGCCGCACTCAGCAATATTCCAGCTATATGGTGGCGGTCTGTAAATAATCGAGTCTGGACCAGACAATCCAGTGATCAACAGCATGAGCATCGATCTGCGCAATTGGGAACCGATGACATGTGTCAACCAAGTCAGCGAGTCTGACCACCCGATCCCGTTAGTCGCCTCTTACGACAAGCATGGATTGCTGAAGACCTATTGTAAACCAAAAGTCACTGTGTTCTTTAATCTGATTGGTTGATAAACATGATCAAATGGTATTCGATTCCGGAAATTCGCTGCGTATTAATACATACAAACATCGCTCACACCATTGTATTGTTACGTCGTCAGCTGAGATGACGTCATTCAAATCATATTGTGACGTAAAGTCCGAATGACGTCACAAATGAGCAGTTCCAGATGCTACCATGGGAGACAGCCGAAACGGCCGGCTATGACATTGCACTGCTGTACCCGTACTCTATGTCAATGAGTGCAGACACAAAAACGTGTGTGGACCTTTTGGTTTACTTTTGTGTTTACAATGTCGATAAACATCATGTGTTGGCCAATTTCCGGGTGTTATTGAGTATTTGAAGCACGGGAATATTTCATTTGAAACCTAACGCCGGAGGTTTCGAATGAAATATTCCCGTGCTTCAAATACTCAATAACATTGATTAGTATTTGAAGCACGGGAATATTTCATTTGAAACCTAACGCCGGAGGTTTCAAATGAAATATTCCCGTGCTTCAAATACTCAATAACACCCGGAAATTGGTCAACACATGATGTTTATCTCCTAATTCTACCCCGGATCTAGCTCAGTAAATGCACAGCAGAGCACAGATACGATTACACGGTACAACACTGATATGTCTGAGGCAAAATCTGGACATTCGTCGAGTCTGACCATCCGATCCCGTAGCTGCCTGTTACACGTAAAGCATCGGTTGCTGCAGGTTAATTCTAACCCGAAGCCGGGATTTGCACGACGAGCCAACGATTCAGCCACAAGTATATCTCCGCGTGAGTGAGTGGGTTGGCTTTTAATCGAACCCGGGCCCTCACTTCACTACCCCACCCCACTGCGTTGTGCAGTGAACTTTCAATTTCACACGTGCAACTCGCACACCTAGCTATTCTACCAGCAAGTGCCCTCCCCCTACTCGTAAAGAATAGCGAAAAGTGACAACAAAATAATGCTCGTTTGTTAAACAACTTTTTTATTCGGTTGTCCAAAATTATGGACAAATCATCAGAGTTGGTCTGTCGATTTCATGTGAGTGTGCAAAATTTGGTTTTGTTGCATTCATTAGATTTTGTGTTAGTGAGCAATTCATCGATCTCAAATGAAGTCAATCGAACTGTAAGTGACTGGTACTCATAAACAAGGGACAACCTGAATTTATTGGACATTCCCAACAGTGGAACATCTCCGATTATCTGATCTGATTAATCATATATTGGAAATTTATTTCATAACTTTCTAATCGCATTGATATTGTAAAATGTATGCTTATTATGTAACAATTATTACACTAATCACAGTTTTACTGATATCACCTTTCAAAAGAATAGTTACAAGGGTGCTCTTGGTAGATTTTGTATGTTATTATACTACTTAATTCGAAATCAATTAAGACTTAGATAATGAAGGTCTAGTGAATTTTATGATGTTATTTCAGTAACAAATGGCACTGTCTTGTCATAAGCTCTAAAATGATACGTCACAACCCGAATGCCTTTTAACAGAACTATTTTCACATTTTTGAAAATGCCTGTTAATTACTTACTCAATTAGAGTCAAATCAAAATATTTTTTACCCTCGATGGATTATCTGAGACTTTTAGTATGTCGTTCACTGGTGTTACCTGAGTACAAAACAGCTGGATTTATTTCTGTTGCAATTTGTTTAGGGTCAAACTCTAATTCTCATGGCCTACAAAGCTATGATATTACAAGATAATACGTTGTCAAAACAGAGGGCTATGAAGGCACTCTGTGACAAAAGTGATAGAAACAAAACAGACGAAGGATCAACATGGAATACAGAATATCTACCGTTAAAACCTGGGCCTACACGCAGGTTAGAATTGGTCTTCAGCAGCCCATGGTGGTCGACACAGGCGACTAACGGGATCGGGTGGCTATGTAACTTGGTTGATGCGTGTCATTGCACAGGGGCGTGTCACGCTTAGAAACAGCGTTAGAAAGACATATAGGTATGTAGACCCTACCCTAGTACTAAACACGGGCGTGTCACGCTTAGAAACAGCGTTAGAAAGACATATAGGTATATAGACCCTACCCTAGTACTATACACAGGGGCGTGTCACGCTTAGAAACAACGTTAGAAAGACATATAGGTATATAGACCCTACCCTAGTACTATACCTTTTATATAGTACTAGTAGGGTCTGTATACCTATATGTCTTTCTAACGCTGTTTCTAAGCGTGACACTAGTACTAGGGTAGGGTCTGTATATACCTATATGTCTTTCCAACGCTGTTTCTAAGCGTGACACTAGTACTAGGGTAGGGTCTATATACCTATATGTCTTTCTAACGCTGTTTCTAAGCGTGACACGCCCCTGTGTGTAGTACTAGGGTAGGGTCTATATACCTATATGTCTTTCTAACGCTGTTTCTAAGCGTGACACGCCCCTGTGTGTCATTGTATCTCATTCACTGAGGTTGATGATCACGATATCAATCATTGGACCGCCAGGTCCAGATTCAGTTATTTTCAGACCGCCGTCATACAGCACGTGTATTGCTGAGTGGGGCGTTAAACAACAAACATACCACAAAGCGAAACTACGACGCGGAAGACATTGAGAGGATTTTACTGGCGCTTCTTCAATTAAAGTTACTGATATGACGTTGTGCATGGCTCTCAATATATGTTTATGAGTGAGTGAGTTTAGTTTTACGTTGCATTCAGCAATATTCCAGCTATATGGAGGTGGTCTGTAAATGATCGAGCCTGGACCAGACAATCCAGTGATCAACAGCACGAGCATCGATCTACGCAGTTAGGATACGATGACATGAGGTCAAACAGGTCAGCGGGCCTGACCACCCGATCCCGTTTGTCGCCTCTTACGACAAGCATGGGTTACTGAATATAATTTCTAACTCGGATCTTCATGGGTTATGTTTATGTGCGTTTTGCTTTTTGTTTTGTTTTTGCATAGATCTACATGGGTGGGAGGAACTACTTCTATGACAATTTGTAGTTGGTGAATAGAGTTTTACGACATTTGTAACAATGGAAATATCACCACATGGGACACAAAGAATTGCTTTCATACATTGCATGGTCTGCATCCATTTCGGGAATCGAGCCCGGACCTTCACCGTTCAGTGCGACTACTCGAGATTTACACAACCTCATTCTATACGATAAGCCCATTTCTGGTGTACCCCGCCGTGATATTGCTGGAATATTGCTAAAAGCGGCGTAAAACCAAACTCGCTCACTCACTCACTCATTCTATGCGATAAACGACCAACTTACGTAAATATGTCAGTGGACATGGAATCGATGTATTTTTAAAAAATCGTACTCGTGTGTACTTTTTGTTTTCATGTTAACAAGTTATGTCCCAAAATCGTTTTCAAAGTCTTCAAGCCAAAGTTTAAACCAAACTCAGTGACTCACAGCTTGAAATGTTGATTTTAGACAGACAAATGACAGCAAAAGAAAAAGTTTGAACGTACTTAGTCTTATTTGTTAATTAATATATTATTATCATATATAATGTGTTGGAGTATTAAAACCATTTGTTTTTTTATATTTCATTTAACTTGTGAAACATTCTTACTACTATGAGATTCTTTTTTTGTTTACATGACGTCATCTTTAACATATTTGTTACTATTTATAGACCAGTCGCACCTTGCAACCAATGTTTACCTGCCTAGATAAAGCTCTCCGATTGGCTAGTTTTCCGGAGCAAACCAATCAGAATTCGCGAACTATAAACAATACCTGCGTCATGTCGCCATTACACGGACGGGACAATTCATATTAGGACATACCGGAATTACAGTTTCATCAAGCAAATAACCCAGCGTGTTGTCACAATCACTAATTGTCTGTCTCCGAACAATGGCGTTTGACAACAGGTAAAATCCAATCACAGGTAAACAGAAAGTGTAGGCACAGGGAAGTGAGTTAGAAGGCGTGGTGATCAAAAGTTGAAAAGTCATCGATTTGAATATCGTGTTTACGTGTACACGTTCATTAAGTTTATAGATTTAAAAAGTGAAGAATATGTCGAAAAAGGAAAGGAGGAGGGTGTTGGCAGAAATTTGGGGAACCCCCACCGCCCGTGACGTTGACTTCTTTGACGAAGGAAACGAGATCGTTGTGACATCGTCACATCGGGAAATCGCAGCCTGGTGGATTGACATCTTCCAAGTTGTCTATCCAGACGTCACATGTTCCGAAAAGAGAGATATCATCAAACTAAAACCCGTATACGGGGTCAGCTTGAAGTTGAACAAGGCAAATGGTATTTTGAGAGTCACCGGCAAGAACCACTGGAATTGGTTTATAGAGAACTTCAACAGTCTTCTTGAACATGGGAATGATAACGTGGAAGCGTTGACCGAGGCATCGGAGAGTTCCGTCACTCGATTCCTTCAGCTTGATAAAGACGATGAAGAGGTAAGTACTGGGATTATCATAACGATGTACACCTCAGTGTAATATAGGAGGGAATATTTGAGAGTTATTTCATATCAAAGGGTTTATGTTATTCAATGGTTAGGTAATAACTGTCATCTATGCCATGCATGATAGTTGTCAAAGACCCATTGCGTTGATCCATGCCCATGCTGTTGATCACTGGATTGTCTGATGCAGGCTTAATTATTTACAGACTGCCACCATATAGCTGGAATATTGCTATGTGCCTCATTAAACAACAAACAAACAAAACTATTTTATATAATTTAATGATGGTTACCAGCATGACATCTCAGAGAATGTATATGAATGCTAGTGTATGTGATGTCATAGAGTTTATTTACACGACATCTGATGTGTTGTCATATCAAAATATTGTTTGTGGTGTTCACTGATCACATGTACTTAAGTACTGTGAAGATGTGTATCAGAATATGTTTCCATCAATGCACGCTGTCATAACAGCCAACTAATTGGCAATCTTGGGATAACCAGACATTGTTGATGCATGTCATTATGGTCATCCTATCCAAATTGTTCAAATGGATGTTTATGATGTAATCACTGGATTACCTTGTCCAGACTCGATTACTTACAGACCGCTGTGATGTAGCTGAAATATTGCATAGAGTGGCATTAAATAACAGACCAAAAGGTACATGTTTATATCCTGACCATGCTTATAAATATGGAATAACTATACATGGAATGCATGTTATATTTTCCTACATGTCAGTAGGTAGTTATGTGATCAACATGATCAAAGAGTTCATAGTGGGCCAATCAGAAAGATTGTTTTCAGCGATAATGTTTGTTATTTCATAAAGGGTATATATGGTGATTATTCAGTCAAGACGAAATCTCACATGTCAGACGGAGTCAAAAACAAACTGACTTGTCAGATCCATACATTGTTGAAGTTTACGTTGCTAAACAAGAATGACTACTTGTTACAGTGTTTACAAGATCAGATACAGTGTTGTCTTTCTTGTAGGTTATGGTGATATATTACATGACTTACATCGCATCTCAGATCGATGCTCATGATGTTGACCACTGGATTGTCTGGTCCAGACTCAATTATTTACAGAACGCCGCCATATAGCTGGAATATTGCTGAGAGCAGTGTTGCACAACAAACAAACAAAGGCATGACTATAAAGACTTATAAATTTACCGTTTTCTCAACCTTTAACTGACACGTGAAGATCCGGGGTAGAATAGGTCTTCAGCAACCCATGTGCTTGCCATAAAAAGGCGACTATCTTGTCGTAAGAGGCGACTAACGGGATCGGGTGGTCAGTTTCGCTGACTTGGTTGACACATGTCATCGGTTCCCAATTGCGCAGATCGATGCTCATGCTGTTGATCACTGGATTGTCTTGTCCAGACTCGATTATTTACAGACCGCCACCATATAGCTGGAATATTGCTGAGTGCGGCGTTAAAACTAAACTCACTCACTCACTCACTCACTCACTCAACCTTTAACTGTTGCAAGCAAAATTTGAAATAACTGAGTTTTATCCCAACATATTTGCAGGTGCAAGATTTGCTGGACATGATTCCTGAGGGTGGAGGAATTATGGGTCATGACTTCATCATGCGCGTGTGGAAAAGCCTCGTCGACGACTGGTGTGGTGTGGGAGCCTGTGTTTATGTGGTTACACCAAGGATAGACTCCGAACGCCTTCTACAAATTATGTTATTGATGATACGCAACAAGGGAACTGGCCTCAAGGTCACCCTTGTGACCCCAACAAAGTCAGATGGGGAGAAGTTCTCAAATGTGATGGATAAAACCAAACGGAGAATGAAAGAAGTGAAGACAGGTCGGGGTACACGGTTGCTCTCTGATGTCAAAATGGAATGGGTTGTGAACAGTCTTGAAGTGCGACATGAAGACTTTTCCACCAACTTTATTGCAGCATTTAAGGACAGTGAGGCTGAGGTCTTAACTACCACCGCACATTTCCATAAAAGTCATTTCCACTTCAACCAGAAAGACAATGTCTGCTACAACCGACTCCCGACATCAGACCTCAAACGCAATTACCTATTCCCGCTTGGAATTGGGAATAACATATTTTGAAGTGATGTTGACAAAGCAGTGAGTTTGTGTTGGCACGAGAATGTGAGATTGTCTCCGTGGGGAACTTCCACTGCAAAGTGCCATATGGATCTTTTCTTTGAATTCAGCCAATGAAGATCGAACAATAGCTCATTGCCATGACGTAGTGTCATTTATACAATGGCAAGAGTATTGTACTGCTTGTGACAGTTTTCAACTGAACCAAAGTTTGAATAAGATAGAAATGTGTGTAAAAGTTATGATTCCAGAGACAATTCTAGAGACAATTTTGTGCAGTTGCAACACCGTGTTTCCTGCTTGCTCACGATGCTGTAGTTGTCTGGATCCTTGATACAAGTTGTATACTACTCAAAAGAAGTGAAGGACAACTTATTTGTACATATGATGACTTCAGTTAATCTGTGAGGGCTGGTGACGGCCTTCCAAGTGTTTGATTTCATTGACTTGTTTTGTGTGGTATATGTCACCACTCAGCTTTTGGTAGGGTTATTCTGAGTGACTACATTTTCTCATGGCAACTAAACATGTCTGATGAGAGATGTCATACAAATTGTATTCAATATTGCCACAGAAGTGGCAGATTTTCTGCTTCATTTTACACTTACATAAATGAAAGCACACATCGGCAGTGTTCAAAATAACCACTGGCCCGCTAGCCCGTGGCTAGTAAAAATCCAGTCGGGCCAGTATATCTCCACAGTCACTGGCCTGACTGGCTAGAGACTTTTCATGGGGTCATTTTGTAAATATATCACTCTCTCCGACTTGTTAAGTTATAGCACACTTTTAAATCATGCAATATTATGGCCTAATAAATATGTTCATCATATCAGCAGCTTAATGATGAAACTCGTGTCTACATTCAAATTTCGGGCTTGTGAATTATATTGTGGGCTAGTAACTTTGAGGCATAGCTAGCCCGAATGGCTAGCAAAATTTGGAAACTATTTCACACACTGCACACCGGTAAGCTGTAATTAGTGTAAATGTTTTATCCCTCCACTAGTACCAGCAGAATGCCACATCTCAATGATCCTGTTGAAAGTTGAGTAGTACATATACTTTCTTTATCCCTCGACATAAAAAGGATTAAAGGCAATGCATGTTTGAAATGTGTATCCCATTGAATGACAGTGATATAATGCTTTTGTTTGTATGTCATTTGTTTAAGCCTATTTTTTATTATGACAGTATTAAACATGTGCACTTAGCATGCCCACACTTAGGCCAAACAAAAAAATGTTGTGGTTCCGATTACACCTCTATAAAATTTAGGGTTGGTAGGTAGGAATTCTTTTCTTTTTTATATATTTTTTTTTAGAAGTAAAGTATGAACTAATAACACATTTATCAATGTGTAATTGTTTATTCAATCAAGCTGGTGGGCATCATGTCGACTTTCTTTATCAGAATGACCAATGTCCGTAGGTGCTAGGAAAAAAACAATGGTATCTGAAAGCATATTTTATTCATACCTCTTAAAAAACTAAGGTCGGCACCAGAACTGACTGACTGACTGAGTTTGGTTTTACGCCGCTTTTAGCTTTAACCACTAGGCTACCCCACCGCCCTCGGCACCAGAAATCAAGGGTCGGTCGGGTAATCAGAACCTCGACATTTTTTGTTTAGGCCTTATCCTCCTCCATATCCTGGAGAGCTTCAACAGAGTCTACAGGACATTGTCACTGTCATGATGTACTGGTTTCTTTGGGTTTTTTTTGTTATACACAGTACTCAGCATTGTTCCAGCTGGGAGACGGTGGCATGTACATAGTTACGTCTGGACCAGACATTCCAGTGATAAACAATCTACGCAATATGTTTATGATTCCATCAACCCAGTCAGTGAGGTCACTGCTTGGACATTATACTATACAATACCGTCCGGTAATTCCGCGCACCTAAGCACATCGATCACAACACGGCAACTAACGTCTCTTATTTTTTTGTGGTTTACATGACTAAACATGCTGGTATGCATCATATTTACCTAGAAATATAAGTTTTATTGATGACTATAAGATTCTAATGTTGCATTATGCCATACGGTTGACCTTACCGGCGTTCTGACGACATCGCTTGCTGTCCGGTAACTGATGTGCATAACATCCAGATGGAGATCCGAAGTATGGAAGTGTATTAGGGCTAGATTATTTTCAAAAATCACTTCATTAATGTAAGGAAAAGTGTTTCATATTAAATCCAATTATGAATAATAAAGTCTGAAGAAAACAAATTTTCATAAAACCGTCAATTTATCAGTCAATTACTGTTATTTTCTTACCTTTAGTGATTAAAAACCAGTCGCATGTAGAAATGTCTCGATTTCAAGCGTAAATGTGGTGGCAGACGATGTTTACCTTCGATAGGGAAGAACGCTATTGCAGTTGCGCAGAATTACCCATGACAGGCTTACTATAGTCAAATGAAAGAATTGGGTAATGTATTTTCAGACATTTAACATTTTCAGTTGTGTGAATTGTAATGAAACAGCACTGGGATACTTTGTCAACAGCTGCATCACATGATGGAGAGTCTTCATCAGTTTAGTAGATTATAAGGGCATATGTTAGGACACAGGAAGACAGCCTCCCATATTATTTTGTATATAATGTCTTGCATTTAGTAGATAAAATGACCTTCGTGTAATGTGTTTTAAACAGTTTTAAGTCTAGATTACTTTAATTTATTATTTTCAAAGTAGATGTGTACAATTACCATGAATATATGTTTTTCTCTTTGTTGTGATTGCTTTACAAAAAGGCATTAAATGTGTAAAATCAGTTCTAGATTAGATTGAATTCCAACAGAGTTATGGAAGTATGCCCCTTGATCATCAAGGGCTTGATGAATGACTAGGTGTTCACTTCTAAGCAGATTTGGTTCCCAATAAAAATGAATGGTAAAAATAATGGCATGCTTTCTTGAGTTGATTATATGTATTCATTTATTATATTACATGATTACATTTTTGTCAGGTATATTGTCAATGGAATTGGTCATCTAGAAGTTGACGTTACAACCCACAAAACTGAACTGAACTATAAACTGATATTTGAACTTGTCAGCAATGTTTTACGTCAATCCATTGATAACTGCAGTTTATTGATAGTCCATTGAACCTCTTCAGGAAATGGAGTTAAAGTTAAACATCTTCAAGTACTCTTCAGGGAGATAAGTTACATGTGATCAAGTAAACTTCAAGCATTCGAGTTACTCATCTTCAAGTAATAGTAATAGTCTGCTTATATGGCGCTCATATCCAGGCACATTGCCTGCTCACAGCGCTACGTAAATTACTATCCCCAGTCATGGGACACTATCATACTTTTCGATACCTTTTCAACTCCATGGGGACCATACAGCCATGCTGCCTGTTAGGCGCAATGAACTAAACACTCACATTGCCAGCACATCATCTCGGGTACCCATTTTACAGCTGAGTTAACTGAGACAATGCGGATCTAAGTATCCTGTCCAAGGATACTACGCAAATGTGCCCACCCAAACCTAGGTGCCTCTACCAGGGATCGAACCCGGGCCTTCAGAGGGATTAACGGATGCCTTACCACTGCCCTATTGCGGTCCAATATATATATATTACTTGTACTGAGAAGTTGTTGTTATGAAGCAAATAATATACCGGTAATCATTGGCATTATCATAATGGTGATAGTTTTGAGATTGCTTTTTACAACCTGAAACAGATTGTCTCTTGGTTGCAGCTTTTTCCTGTGATCTCACCCCATTAGATATATGACCTATAGAAGCATGTGCACTTGTGTCTTCTGTTCAGGGCAGTTTGCATTACATTATGTGACATATAAACCTTTTAACATGTTATAACACAGTAACCATGGCCACCATGTCTACTTAAGTGGCTGGAATACTAAATACTTGGACAGGTGGTGACAGTCTCATTAGCTGTTGGGGGTGGTGGGGTAGCCTAGTGGTTAAAGCATTCGCTCGTCACGCCGAAGACCCGGGTTCAGTTCCCCAAATGGTTACTGTGTGTACACTGACATGAAATTGCTGGAATATTGCTGAAAGTGTCGAGAAACCATACAAGTATGAGTTAGTTAGTTGTCATACAAAGTTTGCTCTAAATTGCTGTGAACGTTGACATATTTGTGGTTATATTTTAAGATTAAGATATACACAGGTAACTTGCGCATGTATGAAACATCTTTGTATAAAGTTGAGTAGTATATCCCTAAGGTTATATAGTTAGATGAAGGACTGTGAGATCCATTGATTGTGATATAGATTGCCTTGATGGGCTATAAAGTTATTTATGCATGATCAGATGATATTGTATTTATTACACAGTTTTAGAAATATAGAAAATTCAAAATGGAATAAAAAAAAGTGATAGAATGGCACTGAAGTCAGTTCCATATGTCTTTTGCAAATTTTGTGATAATATTACAGATGTTTTGTGATATTCTTGTGTAGAATTCATGACTGTTGTTCATATTAGATCATTTGGACATGAATAAATGTGTGATTTTAACGTCATGTTTGTCAAAGGATGAATAATTTTCTTCAACTGTTTCATCAATAACATTTGATAGACTTGTTTAACCAACTACAACAGTGTATTACAATCTAATATATCCCATTGTCACGGCAACCAGACTTTTTGCTGATCTTACAGTGTGATTCTATAGTGAAATAGTCACATGTTATATTGACATTGACTTGTTGTACATGTTGTCCTGAGCTCACATCACAATACGCAGGGGTTCAATTTTTTTTTTAAACTTGTCCTGACTAATTTTCCACTTGCCCTGATTTTATGAAATAATCATGATGATGTAATTATGAAAGAATAAATCAACATGGTATTTGATGTTAATGTTTACTGGACTATTTATTGAAAAATGATAAATAGCAAAGAAAGATAACTCTACTTTATTATCATTGCGAAATTTAAATCAGTTGAGGACGTAACGTGTACGCGAGACGGTCACTCATTCGCGTGACTGCCTCATCACAGACAGGGAAATTCTGCTTGTCACACAAAAACGCGTCTAAAAGTGTTATTTATTAAAAAAATAAAACAAAATTTGCTAGTCATTGATAGGTGTTCAAGTTAATAGCTACATTTTGAGCAGATATGAAATTAAATCCAAGTTTATTTGCAGTTTCAAACCATAAGTGGAAATTATCTAGTAGCCCACGGACATTATTTGATTGCCCGAAATGAAACCTGACTTATCCCGGGCGTCGGGTGATGGGATTTTTGAACCCCTGAATATGGCAACAAACGTTTCACATTACCATTTTGTTTTGTTTTCAAATTGTGGTAAATGATAAACACTAGGGATGTAAGATACATTTGTTGCAGGATCATCCCTTGGGAATGTAGTTTGAAGCAATCTTCAGATACACAATCGACATGTTTTTGAGCAGAGTACAACTTACTGACTCCTCATGTGATTTTCTGGTCTGGGGGTTAGATTTTTGTATGAAGACTAAATATATTAATTAAAACTATGAGCCTTAATACTGTATTATGGAAAACTCTTGCAACAAGGTATTATTGGTGCCAGACAAAGAGTTTGAAGCATATTCCTTTTTCAAGTATCCTTTTTTTTTATTGTTTCAATAAAGTTGTCAAGTATTTCGTTTTTCAATAAAATTCCAGCCATTTAATTTCCCACCCCCACCGTCTATGATATTGGTGTGTGGGTAGGTTTATATTGGTAGCATTGTATTATTCCCAGGATGTTTCTATGGAAGTGAGAGGACAACGTTCTCATCAGTACACCAGCATTGGTCCCCAAGTTTTCCTGAGGGAACTTTCTTCAGTTGAGCTTGACCTTTTATAGGGACCTATCATTTATTATAGGTGTGGTATGGGGGTCGGGTTAGGCCGTCTTGAAAACAATGGTCCTCTTCTGATGCTTCTATTTATTTTCGTCCTCCTAGAAAAGTTAAAGCAAAAAAAACCCAAAAGACAAAACATCCCAATTCGTTAGAACTGGTGTTGGGAATTGGTTAAAATCTCATAATTGATGATTGGTTCATTACAACCGATCAATCATCGAAAATAATTGGTTAGCGTCATTTATGAAATTTGTTAATGCACATAAAAATAAGGAAAAAAACATGTAGTTCTTTGGGGGCTTTTTGGCAAAATTTCACATCTTTAAAGGATGACTAGTATGTTAGGAACATAAATTTCTTGGGGCCTTTAAGATAAATTCAATCATGACTTGAAACGAGCTTGTAGTGCTTACAAAATGTAACAGACAAAACCAACCATGTGAAAAATATTGTTAATGAAAACAAGTGTTCCAAAATCGGTTGTGTTCGATTATGAGAAATTATGATAGATTGCTTGGTCCTTTAGTCACTACGACCAATCTTCGATTATTTCAATTAATCGGACCACCACTAGTTAGAACACAGTGTCATTTTGAGGGGAGTAACTCTCCTTGTTCCCATCTACACCCCCAATGACATAAATGACTGATACCTAAATGGTTGCAGATTACCGGTTCTGTCTATATGTTTTTATGTATCACTTGCAGTTTGACTTGTACATATACACTTCTATTGTGATCGATCGTTATAATTCCTTTGTTAAATAAATGACATCAAATGATGTCAGATGAGTTTTCCAGTCTGTGATCTGTCAAATATTGTTTGTTGTTTAATGCCATACTCACAGTTCAGTCTGGACCACACAATCTAGTGATTAACATCATGAGCATGTCCACACAGCTGAGTTGTGATGACAAGAAGCCAGACCATTGAGTGTGTGAACGAGTCTGGTGTTGCACAGCTTTTAGCAATATCACAGCACGGACACCAGAAAAGGGCTTCACACATTGTAGCCATGTGGGGAATTGAACCTGTGCAGTAGGCGTGAATGCTTTAACCACTTGGCCCATCAGCCACTACCCAAATAGGTTCCTTAATCTGAATCCCATTGCTATCCATTGTAAAAGAGCATGTTAGGAAAGGAGTGGTTTCTGGTCGTGAAAAGTGACAAGGGCCAATCTGGAGAAAAAAATATTGTACTAGAAACATCTAGGGGCTTTTGTATGACAGCAGGAGGTAGGAGGAATAGTAAAAATCTTGTTTGGGTCATGTTTTGATGAGCCACAATCAATGATTCAAACCCATTTATAGTCCGTTTGACTTCATTTGAGACCGATGAATTGCTCACGAACACAAAAATCTAATAAATGCAACAAAATCAAACTTTGCAGTCACATGAAATCAACAGACCAACTCTGAACAGGCATCCCTTTGTCCACTGTTTATCGTGTTTCGAAAAATATTGCAAATGGATATGGCATTGAGCACCAGGAAGGCGAAGGTAGGCCCAGAAAATTGACTGTCGGTATTCTTGTTTCTAAAAACAAACGGAGTTTAGAAAACTTAAGGCTGGATATGATAGATAGAGGAACTGTGGCGGTCTGTAAGGAGACAATTAGAACTGAGCTGTATGCAATGGGTTGACAGAAAAGTCGAGGAATTCCATCACTGATCATGAAACCTGAACAAAAGGAGCGAAGGTTGAACTGGTGCTTACAGCATGGAAATTTTAACTGGGACAATGTGATTTTCTCAGATGAAAGTTCTGTGTGGCTGTTTCCTAATACACTGAAATTCTGGACCAAACAAACTGAAAAACCTTTGTATCAGCGCCCAAAGTACAGTCCGAAATTTAACGAGTGGGGTTGCATATCTGTGTTAGGGGCAACGGTGAATTTGAAGGGAATATGAACAGTGAGCGATACACAGATATTCTCGAGGGACATTTACTTCCATCTGCTCACGTGTTCTATAGAAAGTTTTGGATTTTCCAGCAGAACAACGACCCAAACCATCGTTCAAAGCATTCACAGGCCTGGTTTCGGACCCAAAATATGACATTATTAGATTGGTCAAGCTATAGCCCTGACCTAAATCCAATAGAAAATGTTTGTGGACTTATGAAGGAAAGTGTCAATTAGAAAAATCTGACAAATATTGCTGAAATGAAAGAAGAGGTGGTCCGATATTGGGACAGCATGGACCACGACTTTTTAACTTCTTTGATCAGTAGTGTGCCGACGCATTAAAGCCTACATTGCTGCCCATGTTGACTTGACAAAATACTAACTGTTCACATGTCTTTGAATCTGGAGTAATGTTCTGCTAATATTCACATTTAATACGTGAGTAATGAGTGAAAAAAATTAAAAATTTACAATCTTTAAATTCTCAATAATTTCTGGTTGTACTGTATAGCACTGAAGTACTGTGTATTCCACCCTTGAACATGCTATACATAACGTAAGTACTGTGTATACCACCCTTGAACATGCTATACCTAACACATAAGTAATATGTATACCACCCCAGGACATGCTATATATAGCACTGAAGTACTGTGTATTCCACCCTTGAACATGCTATACATAACACATAAGTACTATGTGTACCACCCTTGGACATGTTAATATAGCACTGAAGTTCTGTGTATACCACCCCTGAACATGCTATGCATCCCACTTCGGTAGTGTTTTTACCACCCTTGAACATGCTATATGTCATGTAAGTACTGTTTATACCACCCTTGAACATGTTATATATGTCATGTAAGTACTGTTTATACCTCCCTTGAACATGTTATACATGTCACATAAGTACTGTGTATACCACCCTTGAACATGCTATACATGACACTGTAGTACTGTGTACGCCACTCTTGTTCATGCTATACATGACACTGAAGTAGTGTACGCCACCCTTGGACATGCTATACATGACACTGAAGTACTGTGTATACCACCCTTGGACATGCTATACATGACACTGTAGTACTGTGTATGCCACTCTTGTTCATGCTATACATGACACTGAAGTACTGTGTATACCACCCTTGGACATGCTATACATGACACTGAAGTACTGTGTATACCACCCTTGGACATGCTATACATGACACTGTAGTACTGTGTATACCACCCTTGGACATGCTATACATGCCGCTTAAGTACTGTGTACGCCTCTCTTGTTCATGCTATACAGAAGTACTGCATATACCACAGTATTCATCATAATAGAATGGTTACTCAATACTTGAATATATTTAGGATGTTTCAGGCTACAGAAAGCTACACTGGTTCAAGAGCAGATGCTGAGAATACTAAACATTTACAACGTCCTAAAACAAACAACACAAAGCAACCATATTTTTAATAATTTATTTATCATTTCAACAGAAATGTAAATGTCCAAAGAGTGAGAAGCCTCACTCCAGTCTGCAGTTGACACTACTCGAGAAGTCGGGTGTCGTCGTGCCAGGCACGACTTGCCCTGATTGAAAGAGCCGAGTGACGGAGGAAACACTGAGATAGAGACAGAGATAGTCGATGCTGAGGAGGAATGAAGACCTGGAGGTGTCAGGATGATTGAAAGAAGGAAGAAGACACATGTAACTCAGGCATTGCTAGGGCTGATACAGTCATGCAGTGATTAATATGAATTTAGCCATTTGGATTAAGTTACTTTGTATTTCTCCCAGATAGTCACTCCTGGATATATAAAGGGGTATTTTGTGAGTGAGTTGGTTCTAATGCCGTTTTTAAGAGTATTCCAGTTATATCACAGTGTGTCAGCTCGATGTGGAGAAAATCCTGAAGTGATGCAGGTCTCAGACGTTTAGCACTTGGGTGAAACCAAAACTAGGTATTCAACTCCAGACCAGTGTTATTTTACATCACCACTCAGAACCTCCATTGACACAGCAACCTTTGTGCTACAGCTATCACCACTCCCATACTTTATCATAGACCTAATGGCCACAGTGGTAAGAGTGCACATCGATCCACCAACCAGGTTAATAACGTAGGGCTTTGAGCATACTTCAGGGTGTGAATTTAGGACATAATATGTATGCAAATTAAGATCACATTGTGGATTAGGACCCAGGTGCTCGATTCCTAAAGCGTTCGTAGCGATCACTTTGAGACGTAGGACCCATAGGCCCGATTCACAAAGCTTTCATAGCACTACGATATCCGTAAGCCTATAATATACTATACAGTTACGACAGTTTGTAACTCTACAAATACTAATAGCCAACTTTACATACATCAAACAATTTCAGGAGTCCGTACAAACATATATCCAGGAGTGAACTGAAACTCATTTACTGCTTTTCACAACTGCCATAAATAATGTTACACAGAAGACTACAGGTAATATAATTTAAGGAACTCATTCTCGAAACTACACATACTACTCAATAGAAGTTAATGCAAACATAACTTTTTCATGACTATTGATAATCTGATGTCTTTTAGCGGCATTTAGAAGTTGTACGTCGATGTCCAAGATATTTTTTTTTGACTCAACTTCTTATTTAAAAAAGAAGTTTAATCCATAAAAATATTTTGGATATTGATAATCTGTCATGAACTAGGAACACCAGACTTTTTTTTAAATGTCTACTGATAATATTTCATAATAATTAGATTAACTAACATGACATGAAAAAACTGGCTGTTACTTAACGTATTTTGAGTAGTATATATACACCTGTAATAAAGGTGAAATAGAATTATTGACTGACATAACCTTTTATTGTTTTCTCAAATAATTAAAACTCTTCATTGACGCAATGTTGTATCAGCCCTTTCATCCTGAGCAACTGATGAGAAAGCACTTATTGTGGCACTGCCTGTACCCAGGATTTGAAATGCTCTACAATGCAATGTAACAACTTGGATAAATACTGAGGAGATATTTCTGGATGCTGAATTCACATATCTCATACCATACATTACCACCAATATATGACCTGAAACACATTTCGGTAAATTTTTCTTCCACGTAATTTTGAATCTGGAAACAGCATGTTGGGAATCAAACTGTACTTAAAACTTTTGCCGACAATCCACTTTTTCATTAAACATGTAATTGTGGACGAATATGTAGGATATCAAATGAGTTCATACACACATTTTTGTGTAAAGAGGCAAAAGTTAGAGAGGTCCAACAGAAATTTGATCACTCTGATACCTCTCATTGCACAATCATAGAAAAATGATCTTTCAATGTAATGTGCTTGTGTTAAAATTTCAAGAAACTATACTCATTATCATTGTACTTCAGCATATTGTTTACATCCCATAATACCCTTCTTCCCATAATATCAAAGACCGAGACAATGAAAATACACTGAGCATTAAATTGAACAAAATGAGAAATGGAAATGAGACAAACTCCAAAAAACAACAATATAAGCAAAAACTTAATAATCTTTCCTCATCATCTCTGAAACCAGGATCTCTTTTTCATAAACAAATTAGAATGAAACGATAAATAAGGAATGACATCTGATATAATGTCCAATGATCTTTACAAAGACGTTAGTTATAATAAGAAACTGGGTGAGTGAGTGAGTTGGGTTCAGTGCCACTTAGAACAGTATTTCAGTTGTAGCTTCATGTCAATTTGCTGTAGGCCTTGGGGTAACCTAGTGGTTAAAGCGTTCGCTCGTCACGCTGAAGACAATGTTCGATTCCCCACATGGGTACAATGTGTGAAATCCATATCTGGTGTCACCTGCCATGATACTGCTGGAATATTGCCAGAAGTGGCGTAAAACTGAACTCACTCACTGTAGGAGGGGGAAGCTGCTTGTTGCAGCTGAGACAAATCCTGGGCATGAGGCAGTGTACAGAATGGCAAACATAGCAGCTGACAGAAAGTCATATGATATTTTGTTCATGAACAATAGTATTATAAGACACTGAATGTTATCTCTGTACCTTCCAATGTCTGATCGGGATGTCCTTAAATTGGCACGATTCTTGCTTCAAACACATGCAGGAGAAGACAAATCAATTCTTATTTTGTACAATATTTTCCATCGAATAGACCATTAAAAGCATCTTCTTCGTAACTTATAACTTAAGTGATGTACAATTGAGAAAGATGAATAATGTTTCTCTTCATATCGATACATGGAATGTCCTTAAAACTTGTAAAACAAGACCTCTTTTAAAGCTGTGTATTACAACGGGGTTTGTGAACTCAAATCACAAGTTAAAATGATAAGGTCATGAGCATAAAATTGTCGAAAACATTCAGTAAAATGTATATACATTTGTTCATGTATTTCTGTGGGATGTAGAACTCTTGAATCCTTAACGACCAGGTCTCAGTGAGGTCTTTAGGCTGGGAGCAGTTGCCTCCCTTGAGACATTGGGTAGAACTGACTACAATAGGTGTTCCCTTTCCAGTAGGAGAGGAAGAAGGCAGACAGGCAGGCGTGCACTTGTTCACAGCTTTCTGTGAAGGCAGAACATGTCATATAAGCCTGTCCAACAACTAGTCACTTTCTGTGAAAGCTTCAGAAGAGTCTTTCTGGAGGCTTGTTGCATAAATACTAACCACCTACAACACAGACCGTCCCACCTGCCCCGAGCCGAGCAGGCAGGCAGGCAGGCTGGCTGGCTGGCCCAATCAGGCTTCAACATCAACAATTACAACACTTGTAATAAATTAAGGCAAAAATTTCACACTGAAAAATTGTCAGTCCCCTCCCTGTTAGCTGGAGCCCTGTGGGTGCCGTCGGGATTGACCCTGTAGACCCACCCTTTCGTAAGTAACCCACCCCGACCCCTTACCCGACCCCACCCTAAACCCCATATAACCCCACCCATTCAGTATGTGGGAAGTCACATATTTACATAAGGGAGAAGTATTTACATAATGTACACATACAACCATAAATAATTTGGCAGAGCACAGATGGACTGTTGATCAGAAAGAAGACAGTCAGTTGTGGTGACCGATGTCGTCATCATCGTCGTCGCTTCTGAGTTGCTTTCACTTTGTCCATCATCAAATGTCACTCTCCCGAGCAGATATCACAAACTGTTATATTCCACACTCTCTGGCTGATGCCAGAATCAATCAACAAATCCTTCCTTTCCTCGTCAGAGTAGACGCCAGCAATATCGCTTCCGTTAGCACTTCAAAAGCATTTTGAACACATTATTCGAACTCAGGAGCCAATCACAAAGCAACATCATAAAAATCGGCCAACAACAGTTCAATCATGACGACTGACAACATATTTCATCTCACAGATTCATAGGTCTGCAATTGAACATAAATCTGAACCAGCCCCTAAGTCGGACTTAGCGCAACCTGGGTCGGCCTCTTTCTGATGGGACAGCAAGCACCTGGAATGAGGCTACTGCATTAATGAGAAAGACATGGTAGATACAGTCCACCACCGTGCATGTGCGGCGAGCAGGCCAGCAAGTGGGCGGCGGTCAGGCGGGCAGGGAGCCCGTCAACAGCGTACATGTGACTGTCAAGGTCTTGTCCTACTGCCACCAGGGGGCACTGGAAGGAGATCATCTGACTGTACATGCAGCTGTCGCAGGTTATCGGGTCTGTTCAGGTGGCCACAAGGTGACTGCGGCCACCGACATCGCCACCGTCCACCACAGCACTCAGTAGTTGGGAAAAAAATGAGAAATGTCCAAATTGACTATTAATAGGAGTCTTTGGTGATGCACACATATATTTAAATTCCATGTCAAAAGAGTCTGTTCTGTGGATGGCAGGCTCCGATTTACTTCTCTTGATCTTTGGTATAGACAAATATAAGTTCTCCAAAATAGCTAACACCTGCAACAGAGGAAACATCTCAATATAGACATTCACAAAAATTGTTAAAGCAATATAATCTATGATGTACATTTTTCTGAAAATTATAAAACACTGTGTTCTTTATAATCATACCTTCATATTAAGACACTAAAATAAACCCTCTTCATACACTGTATGCCTTTTCTTACAAACTGACTCATGAATAAATATAGTCACTAGGACATGACTTGTGAAACGTAGTTGAGTAGCTATCTCCCAAAGGGTGTATTAACAACATTCTGCAATATTATAGTTATAATAGGAGGCGGTAAACATGGTATTTATGTGTGTGGAGGCCACATCTACAAGTAGTTGACGTAGTGTTAAACATTCCACATCGTGAGGACGTAAATTCAACAAAGTTACACAGCTGAACAGTTTTTTCTCTGTCCAAGCCTGCTCTTTTTGACAGATTGTCGTTTAACAGTGCACTCATCAATATTCTAGCTATATGACCTTAGCCTATAAATCATGAAGTCTGGACCTGAAAATCCAGGGATTGACATCATGAGCAGCAACTTGGCAATTGACATGTCTCAACCAGTTTGATGAGCATGATCACTCAATCCCTTTAGGTGCCGCTAACAGCAAGCACAGAACTTGAACAGAATATTGAGAGTCTTACTTGAGGGAACAGGGGCCTTGTTTCCCTGTCATAACAAACACAATCAAGAACGAGACGCTTGTAGGTCTTGGGCGTGTCTGTCCGTGCTCTTGTCATGTCTGGCCGCAGGTAGCCTTTTCCAACCATGAACAATATCTAGGGAAAAACAGGTTTACAATGAATTGTGTCAACATAACAATCTTCATAAATAGAGAGTTTAGTTTTACACTTTTTTAAGCAATATTCCAGAAATATCATGGCGGGGTACACCAGAAATGGGCTTCACACATTGTACCCATATGGGGAATCAAACCAGGGTATTCGGCGTGACAAGTGAACGGTTTTAACCACTAGGCTATCCCACCACCCCTCATGAATAATGAAAACATCAGTTAGCTATACTAAGCGAATCAAGGAAGGGATCATGAATATTTACACCTTTTTGTAGTGAATACTCGGCACATAATTTCATAACAAATATCCCCAGAAGTGCATATATACAAACCTATTGAGGGATAATTATGTCTATTTACGTATTCACTTAACGTAATGAGAATCTGTATATCATGAAAAGACAAACGTCCATATCTAACGTGGAGTAGTATATATTGTAAAAAAAGCAATTTAATGCCCTAATGGCAATACTCATTTCAGTTAATGCTAGTGATGTTCTGATAAGTGAAAAAAATCAAAAATCGATCAAAGGAAGGATTAAAAATGATTAGCTTTTGTAAAAAACATATTTCAATTAATCGGAATTTTGTTGCTATATGGTGGCTGGCTGAAAAAAACCCGGGTCTGGATCAGACAATCTAGTGATCAACAGCATGAGTATTGATCCATGCAATTGGGATACGGTGACGTGTCAACCAAGTCAGCGAGCCTGACCACCCGGTACCTTTAGTCACCTCTTACGACAAGCATGGGTTACTGAAGACCAATTCTAACCCGGATCTTTACGGGTATGAGCATGAATTATACATAAATAGAGTTAATTTAGCATGGAATAAACCAGTTAGCTCACCTGATCCTTGTTGTTGATGTTTGCGTAAGGCAACTCCTGTGTCATGAGCTCGAAGATGACAATACCAAAGGCATAAACGTCGGACTGGAAGGTGTAGGGGTTGGATTCCCTCATCTGTATCACCTCCGGAGCCTGAACACAGCAAGGGAGACAACTTAGGATAAAATCAATAATATTTAAAGTATGTGTATGATGTGTTTTCCACTTTCTGAGATCACACATGTGTATACAACAGTGTATTTTGGCTCTCTACTGTATTATGTTAACTTAATGGCGGTTGTTACTAACAAATATGACATATCTGTTCTTGATAATACCAACATGCCCCATTGGTTCTTGATAATACTTACCAACATGCCCCATTGGTTCTTGATAATACAGACCAGCATGCCCCATTGGTTCTTGATAATACAGACCAACATGCCCCATTGGTTCTTGATAATACTGACCAACATGACAAACTGCCTCTTGATAATACTGACCAACATGACAAACTGCCTCTTGATAATACTGACCAACATGACAATGGCTCTTGATAATACTGACCAACATGACAATGGCTTCTGATAATACTGACCAACATGACAAACTGCCTCTTGATAATACTGACCAACATGACAAACTGCCTCTTGATAATACTGACCAACATGACAATGGCTCTTGATAATACTGACCAACATGACAATGGCTCCTGATAATACTGACCAACATGACAATGGCTTCTGATAATACTGACCAACACGATATATCGTTTATTGATAATACTGACCAACATGACAAAACTGCCTCTTGATAATACTGACCAACATGACATACCTTTTCTTGATAATACTGACCAACATGACAATGGCTCCAGATAATACTGACCAACACGACATATCGTTTCTTGATAATACTGACCAACATGACAAACTGCCTCTTGATAATACTGACCAACATGACATATCGTTTATTGATAATACTGACTAACATGACAATGGCTCCTGATAATACTGACCAACACGACATATCGTTTCTTGAAAATATATCGCTTCTTGATAATACTGACCAACATGACAATGACTCCTGATAATACTGACCAACACGACATATCGTTACTTGATAATACTGACTAACGTCATGACAATGGCTCCTGATAATACTGACCAACACGACATATCGTTTCTTGATAATACTGACCAACATGACAATGGCCCTTGATAATACTGACCAGAATAACATCAGTGAGTGAGGTTTAACGACACTTTTAACGACTAGCCATAACATTGACATCCCATGGAGAAGACCACAGTACAAATCATATAAAAAAACTGCAAATAAACAATAAGATTGATAGAAACAGCCCAGTGATTCTGTAATCTGGAGGTGATGATTGTTATAGGCGTCATGTGTTAGAACCGACTCACCATCCAGAGAATGGATCCAGATGGTTGCTGGAACTGATGGGAACCACTCCATCTGGTCTTCACTGTAGCCAGTCCAAAGTCTCCAATCTTTACTGTCATGTTCTCTGTTAGCACTTCTGTCAAGAATATGTCTGAGGGTGGCTAAGGAATATTTTCTCTCGAAAAGTAAGTTCTACCCACAAATGTGTGGACTGAGTTTTGGTTTTACGCAGCTTTTAGCAATATTCCAGCAACATCACGGCGGGGGACACCAGAAATGGGCTTCACACATTTTACTCATGTGGGGATTCGAACCCGGGTCTTCGGCGTGACGAGCCAACGCTTTAACCACTAGGCTACCCCACCGCCCCTACAAATGTGTGGAAGATATGAGGAATTGTAAACTATTTTGCACTGCATGCAAGCATCTTATTCGTAATATCATTTCCCTTATACAATAGTAAAAAATAAAGTGAATAATGTAACTTAAGTAAGAGATCAAAAACTGTAGACAATAAATACATCTGCCCATTCTTCACAATGTCATTTATACAATTTGTTAAGATTCTAACAACACATGAAGATCTGGGTGAGAATTGTCTCCAGCAATCCATGTTTATCAGAAGAGGTGGCCAACGGGAACGGGTGGTCAGACTTGCTGACTTGGTTGACACGTATCATTGTATGGCAGTTGTGTAGATCGATACGCATGTTGTCGATCACTAGATTGTCTGGACCAGATTCTATAATTTTCAGCCCACAGCAATATAACTGGAATATTGGTGATTGAGGCATTGAACAACAACCAGGGCTCGATTTAAGAGATATTAACCTAAGAGGTGCAACCTAAGATAAAACCTAGTTGCACCAGCCAAATTCCAGCTGCACTGCTTATATTGCAATGAAAGAAAATTGTAATGAAAGAAATATGCTATTGAATTATTCAAAGTTTAGAAGAAAAATGAGCTGAGATAATTATGCGCATGTTAGATTTATTGTTGATGTATTTCTCAAACATTGACTTGCACCTGGTGCAAGTTAGACAAATAACTAGGTTGCACTGTGTAACATTGGGTTGCACCAGTGCAAGTAACAAAGCACTAAATCGAGCCCTGACAACCAAACAATATTCCAACAATATGATGACCGAGACACCAGCAATAGGTATCACATATTGTCCTAATGCTGGTAATCAAACAAAACATCTGCAACATGACAACTGAACACTTTAACAACTAGGGTAGTACAATACCCTCTTATGTTTGGGTAAATGCATGATAAATGTTTCGAATGAAAATGGCAAGGATACTGTTTGTTTTCAGATCTCTGTGGATGATGTGCTTGGCATGAAGATAACTGAAAAGTACAACAAAACACTTTACACATAAGAAACACAGACAAACCTCATCAATGCTAGCTGTTTGTCAATCATCAAAACATTACAGCTTTATCTAACACACCTTGACTGCAGTGAGGGCAAATCTGGGGCACAAGGGACATAACTCCTCAGAGACTTGCTGGATAGATATGGCATATAAGAGTGAGTGAGTGAGTATGGCTTTAGCACTATTCCAGCAACATCATGGCAGGGGACACCCGAAATGGGCTTCACACATTGTACCCATGTGGGGAATGGGACCCTTGTCTTCAGCTTTAACCACCCCCAAGATCTTGGCTGATATAGACCACTGTCATAGTTTTACTTCATTAGCGAGTGAGTGACACACGATATAGATACTCCATTGTTATCTACTTACTCCATGCCCTGTGCTGTTTGTTTTGCTATCATGATGAGCTGGTCCATCCTGAACTTTGTCTCCTTCACATGTAAATGCTTGTACAGACTGTGGCCATCACACCACTGAGTGACTATGGCCAGATGGGGCTTCGACAGGCACCCCATGAACAGCAACACATTATAATGACGGGTTTTCCTGCAATACAACATTCAAACATGTACCACTGAGATTTTGCAACTGCTACACAAGGTTTTGTTTTTGTTTGTTTATTGTTTAATGCAGCACAGAGCAATATTCCAGCTATATGGTGGCAGTCTGTAAATCATCAAGTCTGGACCAGACAATCCAGTGATCAACAGCATGAGCATAGATCTATGCAACTGGGATACAATCACATGCGAGTCTGACAACCCAATTCTGCTAGTTGCTTCTTATGACAAGCTTGGGTTGCTGAAGACCAATTCTAACCCGGATGTTCATGGGTACTGTAAGTTATGGAATATTAGCTTTACCACAAGCTGAAAGTAACTCAATAAGGCTACATAATACTAAATGTTTCTCAGGCACATTTGTTTTCAAACTGTAGAGGGCACTTATTACAAATATTTTAAGAGGTATGAATTGTGTTTTTATTCTCAAACAGGCCTACCTACAAACACAACTAGACACACATTCAACTGGGGATGAAGAAAACATTCATTTAACAGATAATCAATGAGTTGCAGGGATTTACATGGAGTCCTGTATTTGAGGGTCCCTGGGACTCATGCTCTTAATTTTCAGGGGTCCTGGTCAACAAAATGGGGGTCCGAGACACTTAAATGTTATTATTAATACTGTTATTGTATTGTGTATTACGATAATCACATTGTTACAGAAATTAAATTGCAAATAATACTATAATCAGCTAGAAGCAAACTCAGTGATAACTTATTGGTACTTGATTGGAATTTTTACGAAAAAAGTATTTGGACTTTTTCTGAGTCCCTGTGGACGCGATTATAACTTTGGTTGCGTCCATTGTCAATTTTTATGAGTATAGGACGCAGGAATTCACATCCTGTAAATCCTTGAGTTGGGTTTTAATTTTATAGGGGTAACAATAAATGACCCACACGAAATACACATGCTGAAGCCTGAGGAACATGTTTTAGCCAAAGTGACTTATCACTGCCTTGTATTAGATAATACTATAGGGTGTCAGTTTATTGATGGGAGCAAGCCCAAAGTAGCACAGATATGGTGATGACAAATCAAAGAGTGCTATCAGGACATATCTTGGCTCCATTATAAGAGGATCCTGATACATAAAGGGAACGTAACTCTGTGAGGTAACTGCTGCATCTTTGCCCCCTTGCCCTTACTGGACTACAGGTTGACGCTCTTGTTGCAGCCAAAGCAGCAATGGCTACTTGTCAAACTAACACAGACACACAATACCTCAGCACAACTTCATTCTTGATAGCCAGCAACTGTATTTAAACCCCTAGTAAGAGAATCCTTATCTATAAGGGGACAGAACTCTGTGCAGTAATTGCTGTATCTTAGACCACTAGACCCCTAGCACTTAATGGACTAGCAGTAATTGCCTACCTCAACACTCCAACTTCATTCTTGAAAGCCAGCAACTGGGCTGGTGTGGGATCCGTGACGTTCAGCTTCTTCACAGCTACAGGACCGTGCCAGTGACCCTTGTACACAGTTCCAAATGACCCCGATCCAATTCGTTGATCATAAACAATTTCATCATTAGGAATCTCCCAGTCCTCATTGGAATCTCGTCTCGGTCTCTGCAATCAACCAATTGCATTTTGTAAGTAATGTGAGGCATTTATTTAACAGAGAATTAGGGTTCATCCTGAATTTAGCATTAACATCTGAAGAATGAAATTAGGACTAGGTTTTAATTGAGCTACACAATAGATAACTAAAAAGTTTAATACTAACTGTACAAAAAGACAGCAGGAAGCTTTATGTTTCTCTGCACTGACTCGTTAATCAGGAAGATTTTTACGAATAGGAACTGCTTGCAGAAACAATGAAATTCAAAGAAATAGAAAATCCAAAATCTGAAAGAACAATTTTAGTTTTCAAAATTAAGCACGACCCCATTTTAAAAGAGTGAGTGGGTGAGAGAGTTTAGTTTTACGCCGCACTCAGCAATATTCCAGCGATATGGCGGCGGACCATTTTAAAAGAAAGAGATTAAGTATCTTTACATTTTGATTAAAACAGGACAACAGGATTCCTTAATTCTGAACACGTCAATCATACCCGACTCTTTCCCGGGTCTGTCTCCACTGACTTGGCTCTTGGGCGCACATGTTTGGATGCGCTGGTTGGCGAGGACTGAGCGCTCTTCGTGGGACTATTGCTAGGACTCTGCGAGTGACCTCCTGGCAGAGTCAAAGTGTTTAAATGCTGACCTGCAAGTAACATCACATTACAGACACCCCATCACAGAACATGGAGTCAACTGACACTAACCAGAGGGAATATGGACAATGTGTGGCTCTTTAGATGAATATTCAAGCAAAGTTCCCAGCAATAATTACAAATGGACCAATAATGCAACCAAAGATGACAGGACTTTAGAATAATGCAATAAAGGAAATCACACAGTAATTTTATCCACTAGAATACAGAAAACAACAATGGTAAGAAAACAGTGGAGACTGGCCCTGATGGTGTCCCATCAGCTGCAATAAGAATATCTCTGTGCAACAAATGCAACATGATTCAGCTCCTAAGACACATCCCTTTAAACACTTATACATATACTTTAGATCATGCAACAATATAGTTTGGAAAGAGGGCTGGAAAGACCTATCAGCAGCTGCACTGAGCAGTTGTGGTAAAAAACAAATCCTCTCCTGATGAATCCTAAGGAGGAACATAGACAGTTGCTTAATCAAGAATATAAACCAGGTTGCAGGAAACAAATTGTGTACAATTTTAGTGGGATTATCATTCATGTACATTAGGCCTAAAAACAATGTTGTGGTTCCGACTACCTGACCGGCCCTTGAATTCTGGTGCCAACCCTAGGTTTTTTACGAGGTATGAATAAAATAAGCTTTCAGATACCATTGTTTTTTCCCAGCACCAACATACATTGGTCATTCTGATAGAGTAAGTCTACATGATGGCTGCAATTGATTGAATAAACAATTACACATTGATAAATGTGCTATTAGTTTGTACTTTACTTCTAAAAAGAAATGTAAAAAAAAAAAAATTCCTTCCTACTACTAAATCCTACCTACCTACCCTAAATTTTAAAGAGGTGTAATCGGAACCACATCATAAAGTTGGCCTTATGGCCGAGTTGATTTAGCTATATGTTCTGAATCAGGAATCTCTATGGAAAACACTGTGGGACAGCCTCGCTCTGTGTTGTGATAAGTCAAGTGAATATAGTTCATAAGGAGTGAGTGAGTTTAGTTTTACGCCACTTTTAGCAATATTCCAGCAATATCATGGTGGGGGACACTAGAAATGGGCTTCACACACTGTACCCATGAGGGGAATCAAAACCAGTCTTCGGAGTGTAGACAAATGATTTAACCACTAGGCTACCCCAATACCCCTAGCTATTAAGGAAGAGCCCTGAGATACCATTACTGTAGCTCTTGTCTTACGTATAGCAAGTGTTTACTAGTCAACAAATTGTGGCAAGTTTAACAACAGTGTAAACAACTGGGGTGAAACACAACAGCGATCAGAGAGTGGTGGACAGACAGCAGGTGCTGGACAGCAAGCAATGAGAACAGTATGCAGTGGAGGGGAGGGGTATCACAACATCCCACCTAAGTCTCTAGTCATCAGACCATACAAACAGCTCCTCAACATGGTGCGTACTACCCTGCCGGGAATCTTACAAACACTGGACACTAATGTTTTTCAGTACTTGCATTTTCCATGGCTGCATAAAACACATGTTCACACCCATTTGGAACGTAATGTGCTACAGTTAAGCCAAATCATATTTAAGCAAAAGTTTGGAAGAATATTGGGTGTTCTTATATTGTAGCTTTTCTGAAGTTGAAGCTCTTCTGAAGGAGCTGAGTTAATTCACTATTAGAGCAGAATGAAATTTTAATTACCCTTGATTAAAGAACTAAAGTGTCTATATGTGTGGACACTAAATACAAAATTTAACATCTCAGTCAATAGATTAGGGAGTTTCTTATGTCAACTAGTTGAGGAACTGCTTTGAAAATAAAACCTAAATCAACACCTAATATCAACACCTAAAATAAACACAAGATCATGTCTGTATTCAGAAAATAAAGAAATATCATGCCACTTGACATGTACATAGATGTAAATGTTTAATCTCAACATTCAAAGCAACAACATTTTTCATCTTAATTCACAACTTCATTAATTGAAAGTTCTATATATCTACAGTATGTTAAAATTCACACACTGGGAGGGACTATTTCTATATAACACCTCAATCACGTTTTCTGGGACTGGCACCGTCAAACCAAGTCAGTATATTAGTTGAAACGGCAGTGCATAAAAACACATCCCCAAAAGGGAGATAACTCATGCCTACTCTCACCAACTACCCCTTTCTGCCCGGGGCCAAAGAAGTAATGTTTATGTGATGGAGCACTGCTATCACTAGCATGGCGTTTATCTTTATACTGGGTATATCTGATTGGTACAGCATGTCCCCTGCTGCTTTGAGTATCTGGAAATTCAATTTGGTTTACTACAAACATGGGATCTCTGGACTTTGACTACAAAATATCTAACATAACTTTTAGTCTGTTTTCAGTGAAAACGTACCGATGAATTTCACTTTAAACAAAAAAGTAAATCAAATTAAGTGGAATTAAGATTGCGAATCCTCATAATTTTACCTTGCCAAATGAACATATAAATCTCTGAATTTATTCAACTTAGGATAAAAGTTGTTTTTAACAAAGGATCATAAATTCAAATCGCTATTATTGGTTTGTATTACATGGGGGTAAGCACAGTAGATGGAACAGTGAAACAAATGCACGTGCGGTACGTGATGAGTGTTAACTTAAACCAACACTACTTGTTCTTGGTGTTTCATGTAAAGGGCATACCCCTTGTATTACCCCTTGTTCAAATGGCAAGGTAAAATTATGAGGATTCGCTATCTTAATTGCCTTTTATTTGATTTACCTTGTCGTTTAGAGTGAAATTCATCAGTAAGTTTTCACTGCAAACAGACTATAGCATATAACTGAAGTAGGTACTATTGGGTAGATACTTATGATTTAAATCATAGATAAAATCAGATGAATGAAACAAAATGAGTTAAAGTGAGATGTGGTTTTAAAGCCGTTGAACTGTATTCCAGTTATGTCATGGCGTAGTAGCGTCATGTAGGATATAGTTTAATGCCACATCAGCAATTCTGGTGCCATTTGTGGAGTGTGTCTCATGAGGGAAGAATGACCCAAGTACACAGGCTACTTGTAGGGGTTTACTTCTCTGATGAGGCCAACAAACCAAGGATCATAGTCAAGGTCAAGACTCACATCCACAATCACTGGCAAAACTGTATAGCACAGGGCCCTTGATAACTGGGCCACACATGCTCTCCAGAGAATGTTTCTCTCAAAATGATACCATATTCATGTAATGAAAACAGACACTATCCTATAAGGATCTTTGATGTAATTTTGACTTCAACAAAAGTAATCCCTGTCAAACAGGGAGAACATCATTCACATTACCTTGATGCGATCTGGATCCAAGTGCTCCCAGTCTTCTACTGAAATCCTGTAAATAATGAACAGCGATTTTAACTCCCAAACAGGATTCAAGATGCCTACTGGCAATGTATTTTGTGTCAACTCTGTCAACTATCCGAGTGAGTGAGTATGATTTTGCGTTGCTTTCAGCAATATTCCAGCAATATCGCAGTTGGGGACACTAGGAATGGGCTTCACACATTGTACCCATGTATGGAATCGGCAACTATCTGATATCTATAAACATGTTAAGTCAATTTATTGCCACAATGAAGCAGCGCAATCAAGAATCATTGGCTAAAAGTACAACTGTCAAAGATACAATGTGTATATGTCCAGCAAAGTGAGTATTGCTTACGACAAGGTGAATGGGAATAGTGCAAATGTTTTTAAGAAACTGCAAAGAAACCAACATGCATGACATCGAAACACAACACAAATAATTCCCAACCATCACATTATCTGGTTGTCATAGACAATACTCCAAACACTGTGACAACATACACTCTAGGCTGAAATACGGGCTTAATCTGTCCAAAATACTGACCTTCAATCGAAATAATTCAAACGATTTAATTTTGACCTGTATAATACAAATAAGAATATGAACAGGAAACACGCGAAATTACAAAACTGATCTATCAGGAACCATACAGAGGTTACTGATATTTCGAGAAAGAATTAACAGGTTTACAAATGTCCTTTCTCTTTCTCTACTACTCACCTGCTCTCCATGATCGACTAGATTTACACAGACATTTGGAGCTGATGTTGACCGCTCTCTCTGCCCCAGCTGTGGAGCTGGGGCCCGACTACGATGACCTGTTCTGGGAGATGGCAAACCCTGGTTCCTCCGTGTGCTTCTACTGCGCTGTTCTTCTTCTACTAGTATCCTGCAAGTAGCATCAGACTCACACACTTAAATGCAGCCAAATCAAGGCAGGTATAGATGTACATGGTGAGCACATGGTGCCCAATCCCACATAGGACAGAGAGGGTTCAGCAAGAAAACATGGACTTTTTAGAGGTTGCAACTTCAGTAAATATTGAACACAATCTTGAGACAATGGGTTTGGGTAACAAAGCTGTAAATATGGAGAAAACAGTTCCTTAACATTTTCACAAAGAGATCATGGTGAGATGACTGTCGTAGGTCAATATTAAAGCATCGAAATAAGATCCTCTTAACACTAAGACCGGTCTGTGGAGGTTGCATGTTGATGGGTCTATCCCGGTTATAACATGTTTAAGTTACTTGTTACAAACACTGAGATAAGTTGTACATACTGTCTCATTTGTTCCCGTGATCCTTCTCGCTGAGCACGGAAGTAGTACTCAAGGTCACCCTGACATGTCCGCGGCACCTTCTCCTCACATCGCTGATGAAACTTGAGGCCACATGTCTGACAACGGATGCCTTGAAACAACAGGTTGCGGCACATATCACAGAAAGTCAGCGAGAAAAACGTCTTGCGACCCTGCAAATAAGAACACAGATATAAGGTAAGGGAAAAAAGAGAAGGAATTGCTGGAATTCATAACATTACATGATAAAAGACCATGGAAGATCCGACTTGGAATTGGTTTTCAGTAATCAATGCTTGTCGTAAGAGGTGACTATCAGGATCGGGTGGTCAGGCTCGCTGACTTGGTTGACACATGTCATCGTATGCCAATTGTGTAGAGCAATGCTCATGCTGTTGATCACTGGATTGTCTGATCCACACTTGATCATTTACAGACCGCCGCCATATAGCTGGAACATTGCTGAGTGTGGCGCAAAACAACCAAACCAAACCATATATGATAAAAGAGCCACACGAAACATTCCCTGTATCATTAACGTTACTCCTTGGTGACCAACACCTGCATGACATATTGTGACCACAGTGACAGTGTTAATTTATCATGACAATGACCAGTGACCAAATTACCGTCGAATTAAATATATATGAATGTTGATATCTGAATTATCCTGCTTTGCTTAGATATATTCATTTTTGCATTCTTCGCTTTGATAAGATACACTCAAATTCAAGTAAAAGCACTCCTTTCTAGAAAATATCAAATATATTCGATTCTAGTGATCACAAATAGTGAATTGGATTCATAAAAGTTTACGATACGATTCATTGAAAAACACAAGTGAATCAAAACAGCCCTTGTGAACACAACTGGAATATATTCCAACCCAAAGTGTGGAGGGTACTCAAGGTCTATTCTGACATGGAATCTTCACTTACAAAGTTGTGTGAAAGGATAACAGCCCGTGTTGTGTTTCGCTGGGCAACGGTCAAGTCCTCTTCACTTTCCATCAACTCGATCGTCACTTCCTGTCCGGCCAACTCAGCCATGTCTGTGTTCCATGTCAGTGGAATCCTGACCAATGAAATACAGTCAAAAGATTCAACATGCTTTTATTCAACTGAAAATTGTCAATTACAGAGGTATTCATTAGCTGCAGTCACTTTCACACTGTTTTTGTTAAATATACTTTTTCTACATGTCACATGAGAGCTGTAGGACTTTCAGTGTACTTCTACATCTCATACAAATCATAAAATACTTTAAAAGTCTAAACCGATCTTTTCCTTCATCAGTTACGTCATAGTATATATCAGTAACAGAAAATGGTGTAGTTTTCAAAAGGACCTTCATATTTCTTAAACTCATACTGATTTCTGTTTTCATCCAGAAATCCTTACAAACTCATGAAAAACAGAAGTGTCAACCCAATTATTGAATCCTTAGAAAATTCTTACAGATGCAAAGCCTATCACAGCTGTTTATGACCGCCTCCTTAGAAAATTCTTACAGATGCAAAGCCTATCACAGCTGTTTATGACCGCCTCCATTGTGTAGTGGTTAGAGCGATCGCCCGGAGACCGGAAGGTCGCGGGTTCGATCCCCAACCGCGTCATACCAAAAGACGTTAAAATATGTACTTGCTGGTCCACGCCTGGCGTTCGGCATTAATGGGTACAACAAGGACTGGTCGGCTCGGAGTCAGTATAATGTGTCTGAGTAGGGTATTCATGCTTCACTGCGGCATGGTATCTCAGTGGGCTAGCACTATAAAACCAGCTTAGGTCTGGGCTAGTACAAGCAGCCGCACATACACCTTCACACGCATGCACGTCATCATATGAGCGAAATATTCTCAAGTATGACGTTAAACCCAATTTCACCTCACCTCACCTCACAGCTGTTTATGATCAACAAAAAGAAAAAGGTGGCCAAAGTTACCTTGTTTTATGACGAAAGACTTGGCATTTGTTGGGATCGAGTCCTCTTCTGCGCATTGATTTGTACAACCCATCTCTTAATGTTACACTAGGCGTTGCATTCACCTGAAAACAGATAACATTTCCAGTAGGGGGGGAGGTGAATAAAACTGGAAATAATCGGTTTATCACAAAGAATTGTTTTAAACAGCTCAGGCATATTCAAATACCAAAATATCTACTTGCCAAAGGCAAGTCAATGTGAAAATTCTACTTGCCCTCTCTGATTTCCAATTTGCCTGGCTAAATCATAGAAAAAGAAGGGTCGACACACACGATAATGCGACAAGCCATTTTCACTATCATTGGTCAGGCACTGACACTGTCCAAAGCAAGAATATTAAAACATTCATTTCCAGTTTTTATTCGCATGTTTTGTCCTTGTCCTTTGTGTGTTGTCTATTTTCTATTGCATCAGGCTGTACATAATCATGTTCAGGCAAACCAGAAGTCGTCAACAACCAAATATCAATGTTGTCCAGACCACCAAATCTGTTGCCGCTCATGACAAGTATGCTCTGATTACATGGAAGAAACGATGATCCGGCTATATATAGGAAGAAGTGTTCAGTTTACATCCTTTCCATTCCATTCCATGTCCATCAGAACATCATATAACAGCTTTCTAAGGGACCGTTCATAATGTATGGGGGTGGGGTGGGGAATGATGATTTGGGGGCACCCATTTTGTTCTGAGAGGTGGGGGGTCATCAATTTTGTACACATATTCTAGTGGGGCACATCAATTTTGTACATAAAAATATTTAAAAATTAAAAAATATGGGAACGGGAGAGGGGGTAATTGATTTTTTACATGACATGCAGGGGGGTCACTTATTTTGTACATAAATGGGGGGGTGGGGGCAGTCACATTGTACATGCTTCTCCATAAAAATCATCATCACCCCTCCTAGTCATAAATTATCAACGGTCCCTAACACAAGAAGCCAGTGCCACTACAGTCATCTAACTAGGTATGATACAAGGGAGACAACTCACAGTTGACACCATGTTATCTGGTAGATATGCCTTGATGTGTTTGGTGTGTCCGACAGGTGAGCGAAGAGGGAGTTGAGGACTCCGCTGTCCTGTGTTCATCGACCATAAGTTGCTGGAGCTGTTGTTAGGGGTGAGGGGCCCTGGGGACAGGACAGGGGGCTCTGGTTCTGCTGCGGCACCAGCAGGCTCTGGAGAAGGGGTGGGGGGTGGCGTGGCACGCCCAATACTCATTTGTTCCAAGAGCTTCTGTTCTCGGGTCTGTAATTCGTGGATTTTGTTTGCAAGCTCTTCATATTCCTGAAAGTAATGCAAAATAAACACATACATAACTTCAAATATTCAATCGATTAGAAATGACTAATATTTCAAATGTGACATGTTTTGCATACAGCTGGGCAGTTCAGGCCAAAGCACATTATTTCCAAATTTTTCATTTAAATGTTTCAAAATGTGAAGAGGGAGGCATATCCATCAAAAATTCAAGCAATCTGTATACATTATCTGTTGACGGATGTTAAGCATGAATGTATTATCAAATATATGATTAGGCTGTTGTTAATTGAAATCTTCACAGAGAAATGATACAATTGCTATTCTACTATGACTTCAGTAAATACTGAATTGTGATTGGTTAATCAAAGTCATTCAGAGGTATATAATCACGTTACATACCTCTGATTTTCCAACACAGTATGTATATTTTTTAAATCTCAATAACGCGGTTATGGTAGAATGGAGATAAACGTAGTGTTGGAAAATCAGAGGTAAATAACGAAATTATAATAGCTCTAAATTATACCACTGGTCAGCTCCACATAATCTGTAGCTCGTTTCGGACAAGTGGCTTACGTAAAATAGCTCAAGAAAACTAACAGACTAAAGGACTGACTATGGCTGTGTCTAGATGATGTATTTAAGAGTAATGCAAGGACAAGCAGACTCAAATCTTCGACACAGTCTTTGATCTTACTACTTCTGACACAAACTTATTCAATTTCACACAAACAGTGACATCCATAATCACAACTTCAAAAAGTGGTAATGGCTGATTTCCAAAGGAAAGGACTAAACTTGAAAACTGGCTAAAAGAAATTGATTCAGATGTAACCCTTTCAACAGAATTCCGACCGCCTCCGTGGAGTAGTGGTTAGGGCGTCCGCCCGGAGAGTGGAAGGTCGCGGGTTCGATCCCCGACCGCATCATACCAAAAGACATTAAAATATGGTACTTTTTGGTCCCTGCCTGGCACTCGGCATTAATGGGTACAACAAGGACTGGTCGGCTCGGAGTCAGTATAATGTGTCTGAGTGGGGTATTCAAGCTTCACTGCGATATGGTATCTCAGTGGGCTAGCACTATAAAACCAGCTTAAGTCTGGGCTAGTACAACCAGGCGCACATACACATACACATGCATGCACGTCGTCATATGAGCGAAATATTCTCAAGCATGATGTTAAACCCAATTTCACCTCACCTCATCTCAACAGAATTCCAGTCATAATTTTAATTCTGCAAGAAGTCTATTCCAGCTCGATTAGCAAGTGTATTATATCTAAATCCAGTAATGATAAATACCTTCAACCAGTACCTCTAAATCTTCGCATCAGAAATGAAATCTCCATCAGTCATCTAAAACTTTTCTCACTCAAGGGAGTTTTGATCGGGGTACTATTTGCTGTTTCATTGCATTCAAGACTTAAAAATGAGGCTAATGCCAAAAATATTATCACAAAAGACTTGAGATAGAATACCTGCATAATATGACTAAAAAAGCCCATGAACATTTGGCATTTCATTGAAAGCTACCAGCACATATACAGCACTGGGAAACCAAAGATCATAATCCATGAATCTAGGATTCAATTATATGGACAGCCGATCCAGACAAGGTTATAGGCTTTTTAAACTAAGAATGAAAGTTGAAGTAAAAATACTGTAGCAGAAAATGTCAAAGGAACCAACACACTCCCCACCTGAATTTTCAACACTGCTCAACCAAAGGGACATAACTCTGTTGTAATAAGATCATCAGTTAACTCATTGATAAGGGCTGAACATTGACATTTATAAACACAGCACTAAAGTAACATATTTCCTTGATTTAATCCCAAGGCATATATTTCTATGAGACTCTCATTACCAGGCAATTAATATAGGCACAGTGTCTAAATTTTTTTATCTCTGACAAGTGATTGGCCAGATCTCTCTTTCACACCGTGGTGTAAAGGTTCTTTAAAATGCTTAGTTGAGCAAGGACAAAGTTCTGTATGCATAAAGTAGAGAATCAGTCACACGCACAAAACCAACGGGGACTCGGTGCCTAAAAACTACTATCGTATTAAGATGAGAATTTATGGATGTCAACGTGTATATTTTGAGGAACACAACATGTCAAAGTGTATTTTTACTCCTTCACCTTGCCACTTTGTGCATCACTTCCAAAATGCCTTCCAAACACTTTATACTATCATACAATCAGGTCTCATCATTTAATTGAGGAAATATGGTTCCCATTCAGGGCGACGTTCAGACAGACAGACTTACCTTAATATACATCGGAGGGGGATGCTGATGTCGGCCAAACTCAGCATTCATTTCCTCCAATTTTTGTCGAGTGACTTCAATAACTTTCTGTATGTTTTCAATCTGTGGGTGAAACAGAGAATTTTAATTAATTAAGAACAAAAAATAGATGAGAATAGATAATGGAACATAAAAGACATGACATGCTAACAAAAGACAATTAACGATATGATAAATGCATCAAGTATGAACGGATGAAACGTCATACCAAAACTGGTCAAGACAAACCAATGAGTGAGTGAGTTTAATTTTACGCCGCACTCAGCAATATTCCAGCTATATGGCGGAGGTCTGTAAATTATCGAGTCTGGACCAGACAATCCAGTGATCAACAGCATGAGCATTGATCTGCGCAAGTGGGAACTGATGACATGTGTCAACCAAGCCAGCGAGCCTGACCACCCAATCCTGTTAGTCGCCTCTTACAAGCATGGGTTACTGAAAGTTCATTCTAACCTGGACCTTCACAGGTACAAACCAAAGAATGACATCATCATCAACAACTGAGATGTGATGATGTACCATCAAACACATCCACCCCTGACCCCTCCAGTTCCCTTAACCATAACAAGCACATGCTGCTGGTAACTAAACACATAATCCAAACACAATCTAGATTGCCTGTTTTGGATGAGCACTGATCCATCCTATTGCCAACTTCCCATTGGTTAAGGAGTGGGCAATAGCCTACTTTGTAGCCCACTCACAAAGGGTACAAACTTCATGTAGTCCACGGTGAAAATCAACTGGGACACACCTTGAGTAACCTGCAGATTATGCGTTAATATGGCTGAGAAATAGATTTCTATATGTACCTGGCCTGATGGCTCAAGGTACATCACACTATATAAGCTTCGAGTGGGAGTTAGTTTAGTTTTACGCTGCTTTAGCAGTAACAGAAATGACACAGTGGAGGACACCAGAAATGAGCTTCACACATTGTACCTATGTGGGGAATCCAACCTGTGTCTTCTGTGTGAGGAGCAAACGCTTTAACCACTAGGCTACCCCATCGCCACAGTAATCTTCGAGACTGCCTAACAACTTATAATGTAGCAACATGTACTGCCATCATGATCCAACATATGTGTCAAAGGGTGTTTCCATATATTCTGCACATCCCAACCAAAATAGTTTGGTTTTGGTCTATATGTGTCTATAATACTTCCTTCCCTTTCCTTCTAGCATATGTTTGTTTGTATTATAAATGTAAAAATAAATTAATAATATCAAACAATATCTCGGATTTATCAGGGATCCAAACCAAGTGTCCCTGGGCCATTCCTTGGTCATGATATGAATTAAATAATAAGTCATGATATTATTGTCCTTAATAGCATGAGCTGGAAAATCGTAATTTCCAATTTGTCATGTAATCTGCCTCTGACTTAGGACTGAATGTCAGCTTCTAAGACAATAAATGCTATAAAATAATTCTTTTGACAATTAGTCTTAAGGCAACTTTGACCTTAGATCTCGGCAACACTAAACAAACTTACTGTTACCAGTAACATCTGAACAACTTCTCATTAAATTTGACTGACCATTGAACAACAAACATGATGTGGACATTACCAATCAGGAAGCAGCTTTCTAAAACTATTTGGCTCTATGATGTCTTTCAGTGGCATTTAGAAAATTGACAAAGGTATTTTTATGGCTCTATTTCTCTCCAACTGGAAAGGTCCCTTCATCAGGTACAGTTCAAGGGACTCTTTGAAAAATATTTTGATCCAAAATTGATATCTAGTTTCCAACTATCATTCTTTGAAAAATATTTTGACAAAATTATCTGTTTATCATTTCGAAGTTGAATTCATGACATGACCAAAAATGACCAATAGCTACACAAAGTCTCTTCAGTCTCTTTTCAAATGACCAATAGCTACACAAAGTCTCTTCCTTTCAAATGACCAATAGCTACACAAATGACCAATAGCTACACAAAGTCTCTTCCTTTCAAATGACCAATAGCTACACAGTCTCTTCCTTTCAAATGACCAATAGCTACACAGTCTCTTCCTTTCAAATGACCAATAGCTACACAGTCTCTTCCTTTCAAATGACCAATAGCTACACAAAGTCTCTTCCTTTCAAATGACCAATAGCTACACAAAGTCTCTTCCTTTCAAATGACCAATAGCTACACAAAGTCTCTTCCTTTCAAATGACAATGATTTTGACCGAATCAGTGTGTCGTTGGGAATATCCCAACATAACATATCTTTAGGTTGCATGATATGAAAACATATTCAACTGTCACTTTCCCAATCTGGTTTGCAATGTTCTAATGGCCACATGACTGACTGAGTTTAGTTTTACCCCGCTTTTAGCAATATTCCAGCAACATCACGGCGGGGGACACAGGAAATGGGCTTCACACATTGTACCCATATGGGGATTCGAACCCGGGTCTTCGACGTGACGAGACAACGCTTTAACCACTAGGCTACCCCAACGCCCCATGGTCACATGAAAGGTCATTAAGACAGGACCTGTAATGGGATGTCCTCAGATGTTTGTTTGGCAGTAGTGAGATTGCATGGTGGTATAATCTCTGGAAAAACATGCACTGTTTCCAGCCTCTAGGGGTAACCACACCTCATAAACTAATAACCACACATCCCTGACAGCCATAATTTTCAAAAACTTTGACTTTATCAACTTAAACTTTTTAAATGCAGGACCAATTTGTGGTCTCCGCTTTGACCTTTCTGTACCATATGACAAAACATTTCCCTGGGCTCCATTCCACAAAGATATTGTAGTACTACAGATGTCTTAAGTCAGAGGATTGCATTTACCATCAGCTAAACACTAGGATCTCTTCATGTCCAAGGCGGGGCAGTGGGGTAGCCTAGTGGTTAAAGAGTTCGCTTGTCATGCCGAAGACCCAAGTTCACTTCCTCACATGGGTACAATGTGTGAAGCCAATTTCTGGTGTCCTTCGCTGTGATATTGCTGGAATATTGCTAAGAGTGGCGTAAAACCAAACTCACTCACTCACTCACGCCCAAGGCCCTGGATAATATCTGAAAAGTCCACCACCTGTTAATCTCTAATGTCAATAACCTAGTTAGTAACCTATTTGAATAATGAAGTATTCATTCATTCATTCATTAGAAAAATTTCTACAGTTTAATAACTTGTTAAGTTGAGATAGTATGTTTGCTAACACTTACAAAACATTTAACATAGGTGGTTATTTCCATTCATGCACTACCATAAGAATGACAATTTCCATGACCTTGAATGAAGACCACTCAAAACCATACCACTTCCCTGCTCCACCTAGATAGTCTTCGCATGTGTACAAACTTACATTCTACTTCAGTAACCCAGCGTGAGTTACTGTGAACTCACTCCATTTCACAGGGATTTATGTATGCGAATTCCAGCATCCCATATGCATAAAAATTCACAATGGACGCAACAAAATTTCTTAACGCGTCCACGGGAATGCAGACAAAGTCCAAATACTTTTTGCTAAAATTCCAATCAAGTAACAATGTGTTTGCTACTAGCTGGGTTATGACATTATTTGCAATTTAATTACTGTAACAATGTGATGATCATGATACACAATACAATAACAGTAACTGAATTTCAACAATATTACAACAGAGTATTGATAATGTTTAAGTGTCGGGGACCTCCATTTTGTAGTCCAGGACCCCTGAAAATTAAGAGAATGAGTCCAAGGGACCACCCTCAAATACAGGACTCAAGGTAAATCCCTGATTTCAAATACATAAGCTTGAGAGTGAATCGGATCCGTAAAATCATATTCAAATAATATGATTACTGGATGGGTACAATTAACAAAACATCTGAAAAAACAAAGAAGGTATTTGAGTGAAAACGGGACAAAGGACTATCACCTAAATCTAAATCGGTGCGGTCATGTGACAGTTTTGTTGACTGCAATTGGTTGTTTCTGAACAACACAAGTTTGACAACACTTCACACGTAAAACTCGAGTTTGACAACACTGAAAGTTTGATGGAAAAGTCGGTGAGAATAGAGATGCATGTTGTCAAACTGGAATTTGAAAGTGTGGACATTCCAACAACTCACCACCAACACCAATTTCAGAGCTGTCAAACAGTTGTTGAGAAATAGGATCAGTCCTTATTCTCACCAACTTTACATCAAACTTTCGGTGTTGTCAAACTTGCGTTGTTCAGAAACAACCAATCGCAGTCAACGAAATTGTCACATGATGTTTTGGTCGTTTGGTCAATTCAACACAAACTGCCCCAATAGAATCATGGCGCTCAAATGACATAAAAGTTCGTTTGTTTGTTTCTCACTATATTCCTTTTTTGCATTGGATTTCTTTTTTGCATTGCATTGACACAAAAGTCTGACAAAATGTGTTTGGCGTGTGAAACCGCGAGTTTTAAAATTTTAACATGTGTTGTCAAACTTTAGTTTGCTGTGTGAAGGCTGCTTAAAAGTGTTGGGATGTGTAATATTTTGTAACCAGAAATGTTCCACAGTGGTCGATAGAATGATCAGTGACCCACGCCACAGAAGCAGTGTGACACAATCTGATCACAACCAGTTAATCCACACTAGTTCATACTCAGGACAATTATGCCATCTCTGGTAGACATTGTGTTCAACCTCCTCAATTAACCATATAACATGCCATGTAAACAGACAGAGCATCAGTGAGTGAGTGAGTGAGAGAGAGAGAGAGTGAGAGAGTGAGATTTAACACCATTTTCACAGAAATGGGCTTTACACATTGTACATGACGTGTGAACAGAATGAGCGAGCAAGTGAGTGAGTGAGTGAGAGTGCGGTTTAACACCATTTTCACAGAAATGGGCTTTACACAATGTACATGATGTGTGAACAGAGTGAGTAAGTGAGGTTAACACCATTTGAGTAAAATAAGCAGGGCCACCAGATATAGGCTTCACACACTGATGAACAAACACTTAACAATCAGGCCCCACAATAGCATTAGTGAAAGGTTTGGGGTTTAAAACTAATTTGAAAAGCATCATTATATAAAAAAAAAGTTCACAGTAAGACAATTACCATTCTGATAACATGGACAAGAATGAGTATTATTAGTAATAGATTGTAATCCGGGCGATTAAACTTAGCAATGTGAATGAAAACCAAGATCATCGACCGAAACCTAAACAGTAAACCACAACATCTCGGACCCCTCCATCAGCAACACATCACTTAAAATTTGAAATAAAAAACATCTTGATCCATCACATGCAGTAGGATTTTTATAGTTACAACCAAAACAGACTTACATTAGAAGTAATTTACAGTATTATCCTTGCCATAAGCTTTACATTTAATGTCCAGAAAAGAAATTTAAGAAAAAATTTTATTAGTACATTATTTTAAAGAAAACAAATTTTCAAATGCTAGTGTTTGTACAAAGCTATCAAATATCTGTAAAAAAACTCTGCTAATTTAGTTCCTTGGTTGGTACAGAAAATTTAGACGACAATTCTCCAATATGTAGTCTTAGTCATCACTCATGTCCTTAGTCTGTCCTAGTGATTCTACAAAGAAAGTCTGAACTATTTAGCTTACGCAAGTTCATGACCACAAACATAACACAACTTCAGATTCAAAAGATCCATCTCACAAAATTTGGGGCCCACAAATGTAAATAGCAGTAAGAGGAAGCTATAGTTTCACTGTTAAAGAGGCATAGGGGAAAAGTTCAATCATTCACAAGCAGGAAACTTCTACCCATTGGCTCTTTACATAAGGTGATCAGATCATCCAATAATAACATCCTAAACAAGAAGCCTTGCAAAATGACATTAAGTGTGACATCATGTGCATTATTGCACTGATTTTGCCACACATATACCACATCACAACATTTTCAAAACATTATTTTTTCAAAATTTTATCTTTTCCTATATCAAATCAAATGAACCTATATGACATTCTGAATGACAAACTGGTGTTAGAAAATATACCCTGGTTACAGGAAAAACTGACAGCTTTGGAAAATGTTACCAAGTACCTTATAAGTTCAAAGTTTAAACAAATTGATATTTTTAATTCTGAAATAACAATGAACTTTGTAATAACCTGATAAGACAATAAAGAGCCAGTTCTATTTAGTATCACTCAGGCTGAGGATGAGAAAAGGAAATGTCATCTTATTTGTCATAAGAATATATAATAGTCTTCACTAAAAATCTCAGTAAAAAGTTCTCAGTAAATTCAGACTGTTTTGACTGGCAACATGACCACATTTTCAAATACCGGTACATTCTACACATGATTTACAAGTTTTTATATTAGTTACAATTAGATACTGAGTGATTGTTCTCAACATGTCTAAAAGATTCTAATGAAAAATATACACAATTACATAATACAAAAAAAATGCCTCAGCAAACATTAAAATAAATTATCTTCCGCCATATGTCTGTAGCAAATCACATATCCACCATGTATCCATATGTTACTAAAGAATCAATTTATTTACTTTGTAATTATATCAGGCATATTATCATGATCATTAAAACACCATAAATGTATGTGTGACCAGTAACAAAGGACAAAACAAAGCAACACTACAAACAATGTGACTTTTCAAATGCAAGGAGACAATGTAAAACGTAAACACAAAGTCTATAACACATTCAGGCAACTGTTTGATATAAAAAAGAGATCTATCTTAGTGAAATTGAGACAAGAAAATGTTGTTTATGCTTGTGTTTTACACACACACACAAACAGTCTCTACCCTGTCTTTAGACTATATTTTTATAAATAGGCATGTTTGTGACAAAATAGAACTGTTTTAGAAATTTGGAGATGCCAGAACATGATACAAATTAACACACTTCACAATATGACAATCTATATGAAGTAATTCAATCTCACACACTAATATTCACTGTACACCTGTCATCACAAGCTCATATTTAGTAATGGAATGTATTTTTCTAAACCTTCTGTAAAGATCTAGAAATCTAGATCACAAATGCTTTTCGAGTGTCGTGATACCAATTTCTGTCAGCAAAATTTAATAGAGCTAACTAATATTGAACACCCTAAAATAGGTTTATTGAGATATTTTTAGACACTTTGATTGTTGATGAGCATTAGCTTCAACTTTAGACAGGCTACTGTCGAGTAAGATTTGCACAAAGCTATGTCTATCTGCTCGTTAATTTAATCTGAATATTACCATAAAATGAAAACCAAACATGGAACCAAATACGTCAAGTTAATTGGTAACAGGTTCCCTTGAAATTAATGACAATGACACACACAATTACTACCTAAACAATAACATTTTCTATTTTATTTTCAGAAATTTGCATTTATGCCACTGGAACACTGGAATAAAATGCACGCAATTGAGGAAATCAGGTCATCATTTTAACTCCAACACAATTTTTCGAGTAAATAAGAGATTATACCTCATCTTGAAGGTTTCCAGTAGTGTAAGCATCTTCCTCCCGTGGCCCTATGGTGAAACTTGTATTAATATCTCCGTTCATAGTCGGTTGTTGCACGACCGCCATCTTACATGCTTTGACGATATGCTCACGTGACCTCCTAAATTATCACTCAGTCTCGCGTTACTTCGACGCAGCTGTGAGATCAGCGCTTGCGTAGATGTTTATTTATCAGAAAATATTTGATTCCGTTTCATGCATTGTCAGTCATATTTAGCCTAATTTGGTCGTAAATAAAACATAATACATAGCTTTGGGGATCTATCGAATAAAGGCTAAATAAATTCACGTTTTCACATAATTATGAGAGTATGACTGATGTCATAATATATTTAATGTGCCATATCACATGTTATGTATAAAGGTATACTAGATCTATGTTATAACATTATATAGCATCGGGATATCTGCAATGTAGCATTCTATGTCATTTGATACTTTTCGGGAACGTTTTTAATTTGGTATAATTATTTATTAAGGATAAATAAATCAATTCAAAACATTACCTTTGGTGGAAAGATAGCGAGACAAACGTGTCAAGGATTCACTGTTAACTGTCCATTATATGTGCCATATATAATGAGCCCGAATGTCTAGAATAAACGTCTACAACAGGCTTGAAATAAGTATATTATACACACATATGTCTTCTTTTCTTAATCTGTGACCTGAATTTTTTTGACTTAATGTCCCTCTCACATTTTGCTGACATTTCTAGTATCGCGTTAAATCTATAGCCAAAAGCACCCATATATAGAGAGATGATTGATATATATGATGTATATAATATATAGTAATCATCGTAATTGCAACTGATGCAGACATATATAAGCTGTAGCAAGACAACAAATTACATGTCCAAGATATTTGTATGGATTAAACTTCTTTTTTATTTCCCTCACGTTTCGAGACCATTCCAGGTCCCTTCATCAGGTGAACTGACAGTTGAGTTTAATCCATAAAAATATCTTGGACATCTATGTACAACTTCTAAATGCCACTGAAAGACAACAAATTACATATTACGATTGTTTTTTGTTCTGTCATATCAACTTTTTCTTTATGGGTTACACATGGGGCCTATGAAGATTCCAGGTAAAGTTACAGGTTCCAATCATAGAACCTACTAAATTGATTGGTTTGTCAAGCTTCCGGAATCGGTTGATTGCATGTCACCGTATCCTGTGATTTGCTGGAGTTTGGGGTCCGATCATTTGCACACCACGTATAGCTAGAATATTGCTGAGTGCCGCGTCAAACAAACAAACAAACAAACAAAACAAGCAACTCCCAGAAGCCATTGTATAGATCAGTTATGTTCCACCAAAACAGTGTTATGACCTCATTGTTATCATGACGTGAAGTGATTCTATAAGATGACGTCACAATGGTGTGTTCACACTAAACACTATTTTTTTGTGATAAGTTTCAGCACGAGAGATATCATCACCAAGCCGCTCTTTCAGAACATTATTATATACCCTATCACAGTAGATCTTAGTGTAAAGGAAAATAGTCTGGTAATCCAGAGAAATAAAATAGCATTCATAGATATTTGAAACTTATTTAGAAGATGCACTTATAAAGTACACTGAACATTTAACGCTGACTACATGCTCTATAATTCAGTCAGGGTTAATCAGCTCGTAAACGTTTACTTCCCAATATCAACCAGAATACTGCTCTCAGAGCTACCACATAATACAGAATATTGCTATTTAGCATTAATTTGCAATTACAGCTAATTAGATCATCTAAAGATTAACAGTCACGTGGAACAAGCCCTCGACGATACACTTGACCTGTCAGGGGCCATCTCATAATGACTGCGAATCTGCACTGTGCACTTTTATCAAGGCCATTGCACCTGTCGCTTTGACATAACGTTATGTAGGGCAACTCAGTCTATGAGTTATTTGTGTTACGTAAAGAACACGATCATACGTAGTGACAACATTAATGTCTAAATCACTAATTGCTTCACTTACTCCCTGACAGACCACCGAATTATTGTCTTACAATCAACATACAAATTCCCAAAATCGAATTTTATCAATCAAAATCTTCCATGTACAGATTCATGACGCTTTTCAGTGACAAACGGAGTAAGGCGATGGGTATAGTGAAGTGGTGAATGTGTTCGACTGTAACACCGAAGACCAGGTTCGAAGCCAGATGTGATTAATTTGAGAAGAACATTTTTTAATGAACCAGTCGTGATATAGGTGGAATATTTCTCAAAACCGATTTAAAACCCTCTCACTTGAAATCCATCATTCATTTCATAACCATGTACGCAATGATCAACCTACACATGCTAAAGTCCAGCACATGCGGTGTTGTCACGTGATCATTAAAATATGTCAATAACATAATGCAACTGCTCTATGATAATTCCTAATATACTCAAGTTAGGCACAGCTGATTTCTATCTAAACAATGTTTGTTGTTTAACGCCGCACTCAGCAATATTCCGGCAATATGGCGGCGGTCTGTAAATAATCGAGTCTGGACCAGACAATCCATTGATCAACAGCAAGAACATTCATCTACGCAATTAGGACACGTTGACATAACTTCTTTAAGTGTCATTTAGAAGCTAGTATGGTGAAGGGAAACACCCTTTATGGACAGACAACCTCTTTATTGCAATAGAAGCGACGTTTCTGTGTAGACGCTAACATCGTTGGCATGCATCAACCAAGTCAGCAAGCCTGAAAATAAAAACCAATCTCGTTATAGTTGCCTCTTATTTCACTGAGTTTGGTTTTACGCCGCTTTTAGCAATATTCCAGCAACATCACGGCGGGGGACACCAGGAATGGCCTTCACACCATGTACCTATGTGGGGATTCGAACCCGGGTCTTCGGCGTGACGAGCCAACGCTTTAACCACTAGGCTACCCCACCGCCCTCCTCTTATTTCAAGCAGGGTTTGCTGAAGACGAATTCTAACCCGGATCTTCACGGGTATACCTAAACATTGCCCCTACTTTCTGACAATGACGACTCTACGCAAGCAACACAACTAATTTCTATCCAAAATATTGGCAATACTCTCTCACAGTGACGAATCCATTGGTTAGACACAAGTTTTTTTTCTACCAACAATCTCTGACAATGACGAATATACGCCAGTTAGACACAATTCATTACTACCAACATAATGTCATTACGCTGGCAATGACTAATATACCCTAGTTAGACGTGTGATTCATCCTAATTATTGTTACTACGTTCTAAGTATAATCATGACGCCAGGAGGTCACAGATGTAAAGTTATTCCACAACACACACAACTCGTCACGCCACGCATGTTCGTGTTGACAAACCACATCTGTCTGTAAACAGACAACCGTGACGGAAGTACAATCGTATACACTAGTGTTGACTGCTGTTCCACTGTGCGACTGTTTACTTCACAGCTACTATAAATAATACAACAACAGTCTCTGGCAATTAGCGACACTCTCCCGCCAGTACTGACAAACCCACAAAGAGAACCTGCGCAAAACTCACTATGCGATCGTTATCCGTACAGTCCATTCTGAAGACATGGGTAAATCAAGTTACTGCCGCAAGGTGTTCCAATGCACCGAAGTACTATCAATACAACCCTATGCACACCATGCTTTATATAGACTAGTCTACTCCAGATATTGAGGTCAAGCGGCGGGTCGAGGTTATCCGTAGCGTTATACAATACTGTGCTGACTGGTATACTATACCGTTACAGGTTTTACTACGCTACTACGATATTTGATAGTATTGTCCCAATGTTACATACGTGTTTACTGTTATGTTAGGGATAAACGACGAGGACCAAGGCCAAGGCGTCATGTGATGCTATGTGTTACACGTTGTTTTTCTTTCTTTTTCTTTTCGTCTTTTTTTGTCTAGAAAAGGCACACTAAAGTACTTTGTGTTTCGGGTTTTCAGTGAATTAAATCTGTCGCGTTGGGTGAGTGAGTGAGTATAGTTTTACGCCGCTTTTAGCAATATTCCAGCAATATCACGGCGGGGGACACCACAAATGGGCTTCACACATTGTGCCCATGTGGGGAATCGAACCCGGGTCTTCAGCGTGACGAGCGAACGCTTTAACCACTAGGCTACCCCACCGCCCCCTGTCGCGTTGGAATAGCGTAACACGTTCCGTGCATGTTATATTTGGGATTACACTTTCTCATAATCCAGTACTGTTTTTTGGTTGTGTCCAATCAGGCTTTCGAACCAACAGTGTGAGGTACCTAATCGCCAGCACACAAAGAGGGTGCCTCACTCTGACTGTGTGGGTTCGAACCTGGGACGGGACGCAACCCCCAAACATACTTGGATCTGTACTTTCCCGAGAAAGTGTAATCCCAAGTTATAACATGTTATGTTTGACAACTCATTAAATGACGATATTCATGTCAGATAGTGTTTTCTGTGACGTCATGACATTAGGTGACATGACCTCACAATGCCAAGGGCTGCTTCGCCCAATCAAGACACATGCACTGTTCTTACAGTAGCACATCACGAGGAAACGTTAAATATTTTCACTGACGTTCTGTTTCGTGATGCTATGAGTAATATTTAACATATGTGACCCTGTGATATTATACACGCGGTATTGCATTCAATAACAACAGCCTGTGATAAACACGTAGGCCGCTGATATTAATACACATGTAGTACAGGTATATTTATAACTATGTGATACAAGCGTGGTTGTGCTGTACTCAATATTCATACCTATGTGCTATATGTGTGGTGATATAATCTGTGTTAATGCCCATGTGCTATACATGTGGTGTTATATTCAATATTTATACCCATGTGCTATTTGTGTGATAAAATCAATATTAATACCCATGTGCTATACATGTAGTGTTATATTCAATATTAATACCCATGCTATATGTGTGGTGCTATATTTAACATTTATATCCTCTGTGTGTGGTGCTACTTTTAATATCAATACCCATGTGCTATATGTGTAGTGATATATATACTAGGCACATAAAGAAACTGTGCATACAAAAATTTAAAATCTAAATTTATCATCCTGTGTACACACATAAGGATTCAAGCTCAGAGATTAGTGACATGTATCC